ATTTAACATGTTTGCATCCATAATTCCATACAAACATAATCAATTCACCAAAACATGTCTCATAAACAAAAGCACATGAATTAATTCAATGTATAGCCAAACAATTTCCATACAAGAGTTCCCTAAACATGAAACTAAGTTCATTCCTTTTGGTACCTAAATATGATGCTACTTACAACGAAGTAGACATGTACGTAACTCGTATAAACTATCCTTTGTGCCACTTTTAATCACTTAAAAGTCTCCTAGAGAATAATCACCTCCTAAAAAACAACCAATAATCACAAATTAACACTTAAACAAATTTTCAGCAATATAAATTTGATTAAAAGTCCTTAAAATTTCATTAAAATTATGTTTTTATACTTAATTAATCATTAGAAATGCAATAGGAACAAAAGCCCCAAATTAATTGATCATAAGAACCTTAAAATCCCAATTTCAATAAATTGAAACACTAGGTTTATAATTCATAAAATCTTAAAATTTATAACATAAATATAATCTGAAATTTATAATCTTTATACCATCAAAATATAATTTGATACTAAAAATATAATCTTTATACTAAAATCAAAACCCAAAACAATTTAATAAAAACAAGAGAATAAAACAAAATAAATGGAGAAAGGAGGTGAGGGAGGCGGCCATGGTGGCCAACCAAGCTGCTGGTGGTTCGCCGTCGACTAGGGAGCGACGCCGGAGTCGGTGGTGGCTGGCAGCATAAGGAAGGCAGCGGTGGAAGTGAGAAAATTCTCACGTGAAAGGAGAAGAAAGAAAAAAAAAAGGGAAAATAAAAGAAAAAAGAAAAATAAAGGAAAAATAATAAAGAAATAAAACAAAGAGAAGAGAAAGTATGACTAACCTTTTAAGTGGGGAAAATTTTGGCGATCTATGAGGTATTTATAAGGGAGAGAGTTGTAGGGTAGGTAAGAGTAATGTGTTTCATAAATTATGGGCCGATTAAATAAATGAAATGGACCATACTTTATTTGTTGGACATAAATTATAGAAGGAAGATTTATAAAAAGTTCTTTGTAATAATATCGTTTATCAACTTGAAAATAATTTGAATTTTAAAAAAATTAATCTCGAAAAAATACAAATAAATATTATAAATAAAATAAAATAAAATTTATAAAATATTTAAAAATACGGGGATTACAAAAAATAATTACGTAAATCGAAAAATTAGGGAAGATTTTGTTGTCAAAATTAGAGAAATGAAAGAATAACAAATCCTAGTTTTTGAGAAGAAAAAATTGTATAAGGAAATAAAAGGAAGAGCAGTGTTATAATAGAAATTTGTGAAAGAAAAGGAAATGAAGAGAAAGAAGGGTTTTTATAGAGATTTATGTATATATGATGATTCCGATTTTTTCAAGCGAATTGATGGCCGAGGATGAGAAACAATGCGATGTGAGGACTGTAGCCAAATAGTACAATGACAAATCTAGCATTTTTTGTAAGTGAGTTCAATATAAACGAATCATATAAAAATTATTCATAAATTAACAAATTACGTAAAACTACCTGTATATTATATTTCACATCGGTGACACATATATGTGTTGAGTAATTTAGAGTATTGAGATTATTTCCATGATTGTTATATTAATTTGCTTAGGATAAGGTGTAGCAAATTAATTAGCAAAAGATAGAGCAAAGATAAACCCAAATTTGCAGCAACAAATGTCACTCGATCGAGCCTTAGAAGACCGATCGTACGTGAGGACAAACAAGTAAGATGTTGTTGTGAAGTTCGATCGGGCTATGGAAGCTCGATCGGGCCCGTGTGTGTGGCATTTTATTCCCACCCAGCCGCCCGATCGGGCAGCAGCCTCTCGATCGGGCAGCAGCCTCTCGATCGGGCCCGCACACATGAAATCATATTGAATTATGCTCGCCCGATCGAAAGGTAGTCGTCCGATCGGGCCCGTCATATTTCTGGAATTAACGTCAATTGATATTGACGATTATTCTCGTGACTTTGTTCTACTGATATATATACTCCGGAAATTTCATGAAATGCCCCTGAGTAATTTTTTTATTCACCAAATACCCATCAAAACTTTCAAGTTCACCAAATACTCCTGAGTTTAAAAAAAATTTCACCAAATGCCCTTAATGACTAACGGCGGTTAACACCGTTAGTCATTAATGACTAATACGCCACGTGGCAACATTCAATTGGTTGTTGTAAAATAAATAAATTAATTATTAAAAAAACTTTTAAAATAATAAAAAAAAAAAACTTAAATTTTTTTTTTTAAAAAAAATACCCCCCCACCCCCTAGACCCACCCCGCCCCACCACCCCTGCAGACGGCGCCGGCCGCCATCTCCCAGCCGGAACCAGCCGCCGGTCGCCGGCGAGGCCATCCCCCCCACCCTCGACACCCCCTCCCCTACACCTAGCCCCCTCTCCCTCCGTTTCCCCTCCCCTTAAACCCCTCCCCATCCCTCGAAACCCCCCCTTTGCGGCCGGCGTCCAAACCCCCTCCCCGGCGCCGGCGAACCTTTTTCGCCCACCCCCCCCGCCATCCCCACCCCCTTTCCCCCCCTAAACCACCACCTTAAAAACTGAAAAACCCCCAAATCGAAACCCTAGATTTCGATTTGGGGTTTTTTCGATTAAAGGGTTTTTTGGGTGGTGGTTTAGGGGGGAAAAGGGGTGGGGATGGCAGGGGATGGGGCGAAATTGGTTCGCCGGGGTGGGGGTTTGGGCGCCGGCCGTGAAGGGAGGGGGATTTTTCGAGGTGGGGGAGGGGTTTAAGGGGAGGGGAAACGGAGGGAGAAGGGGCTGGGGGTAGGGGAGGGGGGTGTCGGAGGGTGGGGGCTGCCCTCGCCGGCGAAAATGGACCACCGGCGCAGGGTCTGGGGGTGGTGGCTGGTGGTCAGCCGTTGGGGGTGGGGTGGGTCTTGGGTGGTTGGGGTAATTTTTTTTTCTATGTTTATAGTTTTTTTATTTATTTTTAAAGTTTTTTTAATAATTAATTAATTAATATTACAACAACCACTTAGAGGCTGCCACGTGGCATATTAGTCATTAATGACTAACAGTGTTAACCGCCGTTAGTCATTAAGGGCATTTGATGACATTTTTCTTAAACTCAGGAGTATTTGGTGAATTTGAAAGTTTTGATGGGTATTTGGTGAATAAAAAAATAACTCAGGGGCATTTGATGAAATTTCCGTATATACTCTGATATATATGATGGAAGTTTGAGAAAATGGAAAAAGAAGAACAGTAACTTCCATTTTTCATTTTTCTTGTTTTGCAAAGGTTTTTAATTATCGTCATCACAAATCACATACACTTATCTACATTGTATTGTAATCATCCTACTTGTGATTGCAATTGTTCTTCGTTGTATCTCCTAAGTAAATTTCCGTGAAACCCGGTTGTAATATAGGGTCGGAATTATACTTTTGGAAAAGTGATTCCGTTCACGCCTCGAAGATTTTACCGGTTTATTTTGTTTGCTTTCTTTGTGACCCTTGTTAAACACAAAATCCCCAACAATATGTTTATTGGTATGGATTAGATATTAAATTTTTCATAATTTTTATATTTTACTTCTTATATTAAATCAATTATCTGTTATATATTTAAAAAAAAAATTGTTAAAAAAAATTGTTAGGTCAAATTGATCTCATAACTTTAACCTTTGACCGCCACTAAAAGAATCAAGTGAGTATTGTAAGTGAGTTCAAATACCATAAACGAATCATATAAAAATTATTCATAAATTAACAAATTACGTAAAACTACCTATATGTGTATTGATATGGATTAGATATTAAATTATATGGATTAGATATTATAATTATTCATAAGAAACGATTTGCGTTTGGACACAAATTAAATGGTTTGCGAATGTTGTGATGGATGATGACATCTTGTGGAAGAAATGACTGGTTCGTAGCCTCTGTTAGTAGGTGATGACTTAATATGCATAAAGGATGGGATATCTTGGAAAGAAACATATGTCAGTGTATTCAAACCACATCCTAGTTACAATCTGAACTTGAATTACATATTAGAGAACGAAGGGAATAGATATTGAATTTCTTGCGTACAGTATGTTTGATGGTAAATAAAGTTTTTACTATATTCTAATCTCATTCACTCCATTGACATTTATAAGAGGGTGAGTCATATTTGCTAAGTGATAGGTCCGAATCTAGAGCGAATGCGACTTCAAACTATACATTATCAGATAGATGGGGATTGTTGAAAATTTCAGAATAAGTAGAAAGACATACTACATACTCCCTTGCTTAAGAGTTAAGATCTATATTCAAATAATTGTCTCTTAGATTGTTATCAAAGTAGCTTGTATAATATAATGGACTATTGATGTTAGTCAACGATGAGATATGTGAACAAAGTTCTGGAATAGGACTTGGTAAATACTCCATATCAACATAGAGTAGTTATCACAGTATCAAGTCATATTAACAATTAATTCATATAGCATCAGGAAAAGGTGGAGAGTCAACATCATAGTTTTAATTTTATGACACTAGATTGCTTTTGCTTAGGTTTGCTTAGGCTACAACGTTTACTAATACCCTTATAATAGTAGCTACAGGCCGAATATGCTTCATGCTAAATAAGTTAATCACGCACGGTATTATATATGCTGTCTTTCTCACGTCTTCATCTTGATTTAAGTACTACGTATATATTCTGTAGTAAACAGGCACCTTATAAATGCAACAGATTAGATCAGATGGTTTCAATGCTTGGAATTGGTTTTCCAACTGAATGTATCTGTACAATTGTGTAGCATTATATGCTAAGTAGGTAATGTATTGTATATTGTATATCGTATAAAGCCTTCATATATTACTGCTTGATTGATCTCAGAGTCAGTATAATCTGATAAGTTATTAATCAAGAGGAGCTGAGATACGTATATATAATCCTTGATCAGAGTTATTCTTGAATCTTCATTTAATATTTTTATGGAAGATTTGATCAAAGAAGGGAGAGTAGCAGCGCAAGCATGTTTCAATTTCCACAATGTGTTAGAAATTTGACTTGATCAGGGCATGGGCCATGCTATTGAAAGTCCCCACACCTCACCAACACTTGAAATAAGCTTTATCATATCATATGTCTCTAACATTCCCCTCCCTTTTAACTCTAGTAACAAACAAACTGTATTAACAGAATGCCCCCTCATTAACTCCATACCTTCCAATCTCCTCACAAACTACTCTTTCCTATATCTCACCTCAGTTCTACCTTCCTCCTCCTACATTTATCTCACAACAACCGCATGCAACTCGATTTTTACAAAACAGCGCAACCCATCCAGCTAATTGTCAGTTACATACAAAACTATATATAAATACATTGTATCATTAAACATATTATAAAAGGAACTGACCGATATGATTGAGTTTTAGAATATTAATCGTATTATGCTACAAATCGTATGTCATATGTGGAAACCACCTGCCTGACTATCAAAGATGAGCTGAAAACAGAAAATTCTGTAACAAAAAAGGACTAAAAATTAAGAGTTTATGTAGTATCAGAAATCAAAAGAGCATCCCAGATGGAATCCATATCCAAGGACGGCATTTTACTTAACTGGACACCGTGTGCATCAACACTATGGTCACATGAAGCTTCACTGCTTCTCATCAATTTGTTACCATCAATCATCTCAGATGTTCCTACTACTCTGCCATCCAACTCAAATTGCCACTCTTTCCTCACTGAAAGTGGTCTGCTGCTACTTATTGAATCTGGATCAGCCAAGTTATTCATTAGCAAGGATGACGCTGGAAGAAGATCAACAGATTTCTTTAGTCCACCTTGCTGGGATATTGCTTGTATCTTTGCTTCAAGAAGTGCAGCTGTTGCTCCATTTAAGGAGTTCACCTTAAGTAGATGCTTCTGATCCGGAAAATTCAGATGCGCATATTCTCCCCTCAGCATATAAGCTGCAGTATCATAAGCAAAAGCAGCCTCCTCGGCTGTGTCAAAAGTCCCCAGCCACACCCTTGTCCTGTTTCTAGGTAATCTGATCTCTGCCACCCACTTTCCCCAGTGCCTTTGCCTTACTCCCCTATACAACTTCCCCGATGTTGTTGTTGATGATGATGTGCTCTTGTGAGGATGGAGCAAGGCCTGTAGCCTTCTCCCGCTGGACTTCTTCATTGCCTGTGTCTTGGTAGGACTGAGCCTAAACTCAGTACTGACTACTTTTGATGACAAATCCTCACTCATTCTCAGCCATCGATTATGTCCAGCAGGTAGGTATTGACTTTGGCCACACTGTAGCAATGGATCAGACAATACAGCATCTTGGGAGCTACTTCCAACTGTTTCCACCCTGCTGAGGTAGGGTTCCATAATCTTCGCTTCCTTTGAAAACAAGGTTAAATCAGAGAGGTTAATATGGGCTGCAGAAACAGAATGAGATGGTTCAGATGATGTTTGAGGAAGTCTGGACTGAGTCAGCTTATCTGCAGGTGCAGAAGACTTGAAGAAATTGACAAAAGTAGAGGCTCTCGGAAATGTAAAATCAAGGGCAGAACCTTGTTGGGTGACAGTAGTAGTAGTTTTATTGTTATGTTCAGGGATCATATAACCAGAAGTTGAAGAAGAAGGCTCAGAAAGGCGGGTAGAAGTTAGTCTATCGAAAAAGGGTAATGATCTGAATTCTATTCTACCATCATCGGATCCATTATTATGATCATGAAAACTAGCACCCCACAGATGAGTATTATTAAAAGACTTTGATACATCTTCAACAGGAAAGTGAGATGGCATCTTTCGCTGCTGCATGAAGGTTTCCAACTCGGAACAATGATCCTCCATACAGCAAGAAATATTTGTTGTTGAAGGAGGAGAAGAGGAGGAGTGGGATTGTTCTCTAAGAATAAAAAATTGAAAGACAGACAAAGAATAAAGAGAGAATAAAGGGAAGGGAGGCAAGTATGCTATATATTACTAAAAAAGAAATGCAGTCAGCCTAAAAAGCACTTCTCATAAGACAAGAATCAGTTGAGAATAATTATAAAAATTCAGAGAACCTACTTTTTTGTATACACATAGAAAAGAGGCGGGTTTATATATGAGCCAGATCTATGAATTGAAAAGGCTCCATCATCATCATCATCAACCTTGCAAATGTAGTGTTGGACGAAGTCGTACGTGCCAGCCATATTCGATGTCCCTATCTACAACCAATAGGGAGGTGACAACTCATTTCTTTATAGCTTACTTGTCCTAGCATGTTAAGCTGATGGCTGCATATTCTTTCTTGAAAGCGACTAAAACAACCTCAAACCCATTATATTTTTATAAATTTACAATATCAATTCCATGGCTAAATATACAAGTATATTAATTTCCCTTTTTGCTCCAAAGTTTATACTCCATTTATCAAGCATTAGCTACCATGTGAGTTATTCCAAACATCCACATGTGATCTCACTACATACACTTTTTAAATTTTTGCTTTCATCAATTATGTTGCTGTTTTGCTCTTTTATTATCAATAAGCGCAAGAGCTTTTTTTACATCTTAATCAATAATAATTATAGTACAACATTAAGCATCCAAAAAGCTCATTAATTTACTTGTCCAAAGTTTCAAGGGCACTTTTTAGTTAGCTGATTAGTTTTTTAATTTCTTCCCCCACCAAATTCGCGGGTCCTAAAAAATGACACCCTGCCAATAATAGCTCGCTCCTGCAGAACAGCTAAAAGTATCATATAAATATAGCAAGTCATACAATTGTAAAGAGGAGACATAATATTTTAAGTAATCAGTTATCAAAAAAAAAAAAAAAAAAAAAAAAGAATTAGACCTTATGAGGATGCAAAACAAAGAGGATTTGTTAATATTATCACTCAAAACCATCATTAGCTTTGGACTCATTATATAATATATAGGAAACTAAGGAATTTTGCTCTACAAGCATGACCAAATCATTGCAGATGCCAATACTTAATTATTTGGTTACCCTTAATAGCCTCAATTAAGACATTATGTTATTCCTTAATTAGCCTGTCCTTCTGGCACTCTGCCTCTTGAGATGGGTGGTGAGACAATCTGGACCTCTCTAAGTAAGATAATTTAGAATAACAAAGGTGGAAAGTTAGGTTAAAAACCCACAGCACGACGTTTCCTAATTTGGTCCCAATCCCATAATCATCCTAATAATCATTGGAATTTGCATACACGAGGACACTTCCATCTCGAGTTTGCAGTAAATAGTAAGCCACCTCTTTCCTTCCGCCCCAAACTTATTTCTCAAGTCTAATTCCCTGATCTGCCTTGGTGCTTATACTGGTTGATATAATAGTACATTTGACAGATAAGTGATTCATCAGCCAACAACAGTACGTATGAATGTATGATTTTATTAATCTGCTCTATTTCACTTGCATCAAAGCAAGCTATAATGCTCATTTCTGTCTAAATCGGCATCAAATGAACTAGATGACATAACTCCAACTCTAACCTCCACACATCTAGAAGAGTGAAGCATATAGTGGTCAAGAGAAACTGGTTAAAACAAGAAAGTTAAAGTCTGATATTGGTTACATACGTGATAACGTGAATATGCAATGCATGCATTATATAACAGTCTTGTAAATGAGGACAGTACAAGCTGATGCTTAAGATCAGAGTTTGGTTTAGGAAGAAATACTATGTTTTTAGGTGACAAATTTAACCAATTTTTTTTTTTCAATACTGTAGTTGGTTGCTGACTTGCCGTGTTATTATTATATTACGCTGCACATGGACATGATTAGTTAATAATAAGCCGGGGATTTAATTTGTATTATTTAAATTTCCCCTTAATTACTTTATTTTGCATTTTTCTTGAATCTTGATTAAGACTTCAGAAAAGTATGGACAAATTAATTATTCCTCTGTATTGCTTTGAATTGGCTTCGTATCTCCTTTCCTTAAATATATAACTAAACTGCTAAATTTTTCCTTTTTTTTTTTTTGGGGCGATGACTTAACTGCTAACATTAAAATGCATGGTTCTTCACTAATCAATGTTATTGTGTTTGATCATATATGCATACTCCCTTTGTTTTCCCACATCTTTATAGCCCGTTTGTGTGATGCTATATTACTTGTGGACAATAATTTTATACTTGTGTGTAGCTTTGTTAAGGTTATGTTAATAAGTATGTTTAGAATATTATACTTTCCTCCTAATTTTAATTAATACAAGTATAATACTAACGTTACGCTTTTTACAGGTAAGTAACTTATTGCTCCCTCCATTGGATAAACTTCTTTAATAAGGATGACATTTCTACATGTAAACAATAGTAATTAGCAGATAAAGGAGCATTAATATAATGTTTGATCGTGTTATTTAGTGGAGATGAAGGCTTTTGTGGGGGGTGCTAGGTTGGCTACCACACGCGTCAAGTCGTATTTTAAGTTGTGTAGGAGTTTGCTGGAAAAGCTGGCTTATTATAATGGCCATCTTGGAGCAGTAATCCTCTACGGAGTAATTGTTAAACATTATGCCAAATTACCACACTTTAAGCGTAACTGTTATTTTCAATTCAAATTTTCCCATCTATCAAGTTTTTATTCAGTATCAACTGTTAAACCTCAAAGAACAATGCTAGCTACAGTACACTCATAAAAGCAAAGTATAGAGTTGCAAGTTAGAGATTATTTCCAACACACGCCGCCAGCAACTAACATGTGCTCATATAAATAAGGAATGGCATGACATTATATTGCTCCAGCACCATAACAGAATAACAGCCACACAAATTTATCGCATCCACTCTTGTCTATTACGCTCAAGTGCATTCCCTCGAGTAGAAAGGGGGATAATACACAAGGAAGAAAAACTAACACTCAGATATTTTCTTGTAAAAAAGTATCCTATAGGCATGAGCTTAAAAACTATGGATCAGAGTGTATTCTGAGAGGTTATAATGCGGGAACTTTTTAAGTAATTTCGAAACATCTCCAACAGTTTGGCCAAAATACGGCCATGATCAGAACAAATAGCAGCTCTGAACTTGCCAAATACACTGAACAGGAATATATCCCATTGGCCTTTTATTAACCTCTGCGCAGGCAAGATATATAAACTAATGAAAACATAACAGAATGAGCTACAAGATTACAAAAACAGAAAAAAGGCAGCAAATTATTGTGGCATCAAACTAATAAACGCACACCACTTACAGCTTTATTCCACTTTTATAATACAATGTCTCCACACTACCCATTGATCACTAACTTGATCTTAAGACATTCTTTATTCCTCTCCAAAATTTTCCAAATTATTAAGTTTTTAATCCTAACAGTAAATTCCAACAAGTTTACTTCCCCAACATAAGAACATCACAAATTCCAAAAATTTCTACGGAGTGTAAGCACATTAAAAACCCCAGATTTGAACAATTAATCACACTTCATCATGCCATACCAATTTTGTATTACCTATATCCTCTAGTCCTCTACTATGAAACTCAGTTTTAACTGACATCACCATATATCGGTAAATACTGCATAATGTCCACCAAATCTAAGCAACTTGCAGTTACTATGACCTAGTATTTACTGCAATTATCAATCCAATTTTGTTCTCTCCGAACTCCAAAAGACAAGAATTACAAGATACTGACCATCCTCACAAATCTTACCCTCACATTAATGTATTTATATGCCTTACCAATCTGACTATATCATGCTAATAACTAAGATTTAATAACAATTCTGCACCCAAGGTAAAAACACACACACACCTACTACTTGTATACTTGTATATGTTTGACTTCAACTTGCCAAAAAGGCCACAATATTTCTTACAGATAACTCTCCTGAAATTCACAGAAAAAGATTAGCAGAGATAATTCAGGAACTTGAAACTCAAAATTAGATGTCATGGAAAAGAACAGTCCAAGCAGCTCCAGACATAGCAAAGTTCCTTATGTCAAACAGATCATAACTAGCACTTAATGACATGTAAAGTGGACATGAACAAGGACAAATATATGCAGCAACCTTAAAACATAGGCACAAGTATTGGTACAAAATATAAAATCCTTTCCCTTTCATCTAGCTGCTCCTGAACTTTACAACAACAGCTAACTAAGTAGTATATGTTTATTGGCCATATTTATTTTCCCAACCCATGTGCTTTAACAGGATAACATTGTTTACATACATCACGCCTCCAAAGTGACAAACAAGTTCTTCCTACCAACAATATATTAAGCAGCAAAAACACCAAACTCCACTAGTCGTGACTCGTGACCACTTATTAGACAGTTGCTTAATTAATTTCATTGACTTATTGCAGATAAACTGAATTAACAACCAATAAAGTCGAGTGGAACTAACAGTATAAGCTAAATCCATTCGCCTATGAAGTTTTCAAGGCTACAGTTTGCTGAGAAATATGAGATCCAAAGAGGTGCTTCTTTCAAAACTACTTGCAGAGGTGATGAATATAAGCTAAAGTCAGGGATAAATGATAGATAATACATATGAACTTAAAATTGAGGAAAACTGATAGATACTTGCCTCCCCATAAAAAAGAATGACCTAATTCTTAAATATTTCATCTCCTCACCTCACACTAAACTCCACAACAAAACACAACAGAGCATTCAGTTATTCATAATTAGGAAAACCGTTACAATCAAGTCACTGCATCATATTTCCACTATCCATTCTGTTTTCTAAATTAAGTGCGTAAATAGAACTAAAATATTGAAGTAGTAATTAGTTATATGCATTCCACACGTTATATGATGTTTCAAGTTATTTTTCTTTATATATAATGTCATTATGCAAACCAATTAATTATTTAGTAGATTAAATTTCTCCCTTTGGATCCTCAGTTGACTTCAATCATAACATTAGACACAAACAAAATAGTGCCATGATTGCTAAATACAAACAGAGTGTGAGGTGAAGAAGAGGGGACAAGTATCCAAAAAGGTTTTTATTATAGAATAACTAGTATTGGTACCAAATGAAAATAAGCAACTTTGGCAAGAATTCTTCACAATTCTCTAAATTCTTCTCAAAGCTCAGAATAGTAAGTGGTTTATCCTTGAACTTTGCTACCTCTTAGATAAAGCACCGGGCCAAGGCATTAAAAATTTCAAAAGAAAATCTCTACAGAATTTTCTATCTTATCTCAAGCTTCTGCTCCTTGATGCTATAATTCCTTGCAAAATAAGCATACCTAGACTTTTCAGGCAGAGTGACTGAGTGAGAGAAACATTCTTCCCTAGAGTTTCATATCATTACATGCCTAGGATTTCTCATGATCAACATCTTCAATACAACACCAAATCTGACAATCTCTAACCATCCACCTTCACTAACCACACGATCACACCCAAAAAAAAAAAAAAAAACTTGTGCACTACTATACATATTGTAAGGGCAAGGACAAGGGTATGAAATAAAGTTTCAATTTTTCTATTGATTTACACCCTATCAGCACTCCTTTGTACTTGAAGAAATATATGACCAACTCCACAGGACTCATGACATCCCACTGACCTGTGTCACCTACTCCTTATTTCATTTTTGTTACTTCCGCAAATCCAGATTCTATCACTGACCCCTTCAAAGGCTTCAACTGATACTGATGACCCAGAATTAAGGACTCACTGAATTTTAGGGCATAAAATTTCACTCAACCTAAAATCTCATCCATTGGAACTGCAAGGCAACACGCCATCAGACTTAGGTCCAACTTTCAGAATCACAAGAGCCAGCAGCTTTTTTTGTCCATATAAAGGTTTACACCCCATTTACATACCCAGCAGTATAACCTGGTTGCTTGGCTACAGTTGCTCAGCTTTTGCAGAGCACGATATTAAGTGATCATGGCCCTTTGCTCCTTCTCTTGGGTATGCATCAGTTGATAGCTAAATTGAGTCTGCTTATGTGGGTCCCCCAATCCTTCTGTACCACAATTCTACTATTAGTAAGCAAGCAATCCAATAGCTCCATCACAAGTGGTAAAATATTTAAAAACACTTGACTCCCCGTTCTCCGCCAAGGAAAGGCAGCAAGAGTAAGTGCAAGGAGCTAAGACTATATGGCTCTGCATTACAACCTAGTTTTGCAATTCCCTAGCAAAGTTAATTAGCAAAATGCAACTATTTGGTTCATCAATAGGGATTTTTACAAGAGAAACTATATGCTAACTAATAATGCTAATGAAACATATTTTTAAAAGTTGGATATTACTAAGTGATACTGACCAATAGTCAAACTTGGCAAAAAGCTAGACCTCCAAATTCACTATATGCTACCCAAAATAAAAACATACAGAATAATTCCAAGGGCTGTTTGAGTGTTTGGTTTACTATGTCCGGAATCTGAGATTGGGTTTGGAATAATAAAAACTAGATTGATGTGGAAGAAATGGAGCCAAACCTATCCCAACAAACCACTACTCATCTTCCCATGCAATAGTACCTCTCAGTTTCTCAAACGGTTTGAAATTGAAATATCAAATTCAAAGAAAAGGAAAAGAAAAGGTATACATACATTCCCCTTTTCTACTACAGAATTGGAACTTTGTGAGAATAAATCAAAGCAAAGAAAACAATTTTGCACCATTCCTCCAAACCTTACAACCAAGTCCCATAGTTTCTATGGCCTCCACCTAAAATAATACTTCCTCCGTTCTGTTAATATTGCAACAATGGACTTTTTGCACTATTCATCACTCTTGTTTGACCATATAATATGATTTATACGTTAAGCAAAATATAATCTTCTGGGATCTTGTTGGATTCGTCTCATAAAATACTTTTACAATATCAACTTTTTATAATTTTTACTCTTACACAATTATAGATATTTAGCATATAAAATGTGAGTTGAGATGCGTAATTTTCTCCTTGTTGCAATATTAATAGAACGGAGGAAGTAGTAATCAACAAAAAAGAGAATACCTAACAACTTCATGCAACAGCACTATCACACAAATCAGCAGCCAAATGCCCCACTGTACATTGAAAGCACTCTTAAACTCATCAGTAGTTAGCCACAATAAAGGCTGCACACTAAAGAGAAGCACGGAATACTTAAACTCACATAACCAAACAGGTGTTTTTCAGAATTTCAGGTAAAGACTCCTCACCTCAATACCTTAGATAATTCAATTAGGGGGTGTTTGGTTCAAATAGCTAGAGTGGAATGGTATAAAAATGAAAATCCCAAGGGTATAGCTTGGTGTGAAGTGTATACCACACCACCAATTTCTTATCATGAGATGACTATGAGCCCTCATCCTAGTCTACTACATCAGATTAGACAAGCTAGAAAGTCGGCGTCTTTATGGACAAACATCACCTCTATAAGGACCGAGAGGAATTATAAAGCCAAGCTCATACATATAAATTTCACCTCCAGCTTTCCTATTAAACAAATACACAAGATAATCTCTTTTATATCAGCACCACTGATGTACCTATCTACTTGAATAAGCATGGCCTTAAAATTTGGAATGCACCAAGAAATCTAACATGAACATAACAAATTGGAGGTGAAACGTTCAATTGTCACAAAGAAACAGATTGGCAGACATAGAATTGTTCAGAGCCTCAGACATAAAAGCTATTCCCTTTACATGAAAATTCTAAAAGAGCCCAAAACTTATCTGTAATATGATTTATAGTTGCCATAAATATAATTCATCTGCTTCAGTTAAGAATTATTGTATAAAAAAAAAAAATGGAATATTTCTAAACTAAAAAATCATTGGAGAAGCTAATAAAGACTACAAAAAGGAAGTTGATGAGAGGTTTCCTTTTGAATTGTAATGGAAATAGCAATTAAAGCATTGTTCGAACTACCACTCTATAATGGCACAATAGAGTGTGAATATAAGTAGAAGTAGCAATTAAAAAAGATAAAGAGTACACACGAGGAATCGTTATTAGAAAACCACGAACACAAGAGAACATACTTAACTGAGAATCCTTGATTGATTGAAAAAACAGACATGACATAGAGAGTATGAATTTATTATTATAGTTATAATAAAGAGTAGTAATAAGGGATTATTATAATAGGGTGTTATTTGTTGGTGGTGGTACCTCCACCAATAGTTTGGCCGCCACCGGAGGCCTTCTTGGCCGTCTTCTCTTGAAGTGCCTTTGCATCCCTACATCAGACATCACCAACCCAAATCAATAATCAAATCACAAACTGGAATTTGAAAATAATTATAAAAAAAAAAAAAGAAGAAACCTTTCGCGGCGTTGCTCGGGAGTGAGGCCATCATTCTTGCCACCCTTCTTACCGGCGCCGCCGCGTGACTGAGCTCTTTCACGATCTTTTTCTCTCTGGTTACCACGTTCAAACTATTTTGTTAAGGAAACACAGAAATACAAATCCCATTCCTTCATACAATCATTAATTTAATAGTAAAACAGAATAAAATCAAGGATATGAGTCATTGTATCAGCAGCAAAGAAGGCGATTAGGAGGAAAGTGAGAGAACCTGCAACAAACTATTTAACCAAATTACAAATCCACAAAACAAAGGAAGGAGAGATAAATTCAGGAATTTTACCCCTTACAATTTACAATTCAGGAGATCCAATCCAATCCTCCTCCTCTGCTTTTTAGACTTGATGCTGCTGATTTTCCCAGCCGTCTTTGCTTTTCATGTCCTCCTTTATTCTTCTTCTTCTTTTTTTTGAGTTATTTCCATTGAGTCCCTCAACTTTTTTAAGTGTTGCATTTTAGTCCCTCTACCACTAATGAGTCAATGACTAAACGATTCAGGTAGCAATTACGAGTACTTTTTATCAACAGTGAGTAATAAAGGCGCCCGGTAACAAATTTCGTATTTCAAATGGCAATGTTATAATTTTGAGCAACTTTTTTTTATTGTTTTAATGCTTTTACAAAAACTAAGGATTTATTCACATTTATTGAACAAAACTAAAGTAATTGGAGTTAAACTCAACTGAACTGAGCTGATTGGAACTGAATTGAATAGAGCTGAAATGAATATTAATGAGAGAAGGAAATTAGGAGTTGAACTGAACTTAACTGATTGGAGCTAAATTGAACTGAACTGAAATTAAGCTGAAGTGAACAGACCCTAATCATCAAACTTCCATTTCTTCGACCTCCCTTTTTTCATTCTCAATATCGATGGCAGACGAATGCAGACAACCACAACAAACGCTAGGCCTAATACCACAACAAACCTCAACACTACCATTTTTGGATTTAATGAAAAACCCTAAGAAAAATATACTCCTTCCATCCCAATATATAGTTCCTGTCTGTGTTTTTTCACGGTATTTAAGAGATATGAGGAGAAAGTGGATGAAATACATTAATAAAAGTGAAAAGTACAATTATAAACAAAAGTTAAAGAGAAAAAGTAGAAAAAAAATATAAGATATGTGCAAAATTCAAGGGTAATGTAGGAAGTATGATGTATATAGTAAAAAAAATGAGGGGTATTTACGTACTATCCAAAAATAGAAACATGAACAATATTTTGGATTTCAAAATAAGAAAACAGAAACTATACTGTGGGACATAAGGAGTATTAATTAAGGGCTTGATTGACCCTAAATGGTGGGTGTTTGTCTTTCTCCATTAATTTCTTCAACCTCCATTGTTGAGGAGATAGATAACCCCTGTTTAACGTCTTCCAAGCCAAATATAAGTAAAATATGTTTGTAATCCTAGTAGTTTGCGTGAAAAGACTAAACTATAAAGTAACCATTATAAAGTACCCATTTGAGAAACAGATTTTGTTTCTCAAGTTGGGAAACTTGAAATTTCTTGAGTCAACAAAGTTTATAGACTTCTTTGTTGAGCAGGCAAAGTTTAGTGTCTTTTTTCATTGCTGACTATGCTATAGTTTAGTGACTATCTTGCTAACATGGACAAATATATATGACAAGAAAAATATATCGATTCAAAGTTTAGGGGTTTTGCATTATATTGTTCAATTATAATATTTTTTTTAAAAGCAATTGTAGAATTGTAATTAGTAGTAAAGCAATTAATGTTTTAAAACAAACAAAAATCCGTATATAGTCAAATAGATTTGCAATAAACAATAAAGCATTAATTCACATTTGCTACAATATTATCGATTTAACACTAGATTTTTGCTACAATAATTAATTCAAATATCATATTGTCCTACAAATATGATACAATTACTAATATAATTTATGGATTGTTTATGGTTCTATTCAGTGGCGTATCCAGGAATTCCGAACTGTGGGTTCGGAATCTTAAAAAACAAACATATATTAATTAAATATTCAATATATAAGTTCAAATTTTTTATTACAAATAGATGGATTAAACAGTTATAAAATAATAAATGAAAAAAAAAACCTACAAAAGCATTCTTCGAGTTTTATACTTTTAAAGCGTGCTAAAACATTACTACTTCTACAAATGATATATCTATAATTATATTGCAAAAAATCAATATTACACGAAAAACAAAAATCCCAAGTCCCCAATAAACACAAATTTGATAATGAATTTTTTTTCTAATTATCAATTAAAAGACCAAGTAAAAATTTTAAATTCTAAGTTTCTAAATTCAATTTGTACGTCAACAATATATCAAAACTAATTAAACAAATCAATAATTAATCTAATTATCACTAATTTACAAACAAATAATGATTTAAGAATTAAGAGGAGTAGAGGAATAAGAGGACTGTTGAAACTAATACGTACTAAAGGATAAAAACAATAATAATATTCGATAAGTATGAAGCAAGTAAAATAAAGAACTCATAATATTTCTTCATGCTTAATTCACCAAATACAAGAGCCATATATGTAGGCTAACAAACAACAAATAATAAGATTAAAAACTAAATGTATAATGCCATGTTTAACCCACTAAATAAACTCATTAACTTCTAAATTCATTTGACTCTCTAACTTAACAAAATGACCAACATACTACTCCTAAAATTATTGACCCAACTATGGACTAACTCATGAAGAACAACGGAAGATATCGAAAGGGGGAAAAAAAATGAGGGTGGTTGGTCTCGAACCCATGATCAAAAAGAGCCTCACTACTCTATTAGTCTCTCCCTTACCAATGTGCCAGAGTTACATATTTATTTATTTATTTCAAAAAATTTGTTTTAACCTTATTTTTTTTTCTTTTTTTTAAAAAAAAAATCAAAACTTATAATTTTTTTTCAAAAAATCTGGGGGTTCAATGAACCCCCTGAAACCCCCCTAGATCCGCCCATGGTTCTATTGAATTATAAGATACACTCCGTATTATATAATGGACCGCTTGTGACTTTAGATTTGGATAAGTTGACCTATTATTGTCATTTGACTATCTATTACGAGGTCATTAAAAAAAGTTTAATTTATAGATCACTTCGAAAAGATTTGATGTATAATTATTTCTAAGCACATTACTTGTTCAACAATATTAGTGAAAGTGAGTTTCAACTTCTTCAGGGTAGTTGATTGTTGATGTGTATACTTGTATGTCATGAACTCATGATGTGGTAATATACCTCTCATTCGATTCGATGTATACAAAAGAACTTACAAACAAACAAAGCAACAAACAAACTAAAAACGGAAACAAAGTAAATCACCCAACGCGCCAAACCCGCCAAGATATGAGCCAAAGCAACTATAGACCTGGGAACTTTTGTATACATATAATTTACTATGCACCCTATGTAATATTAGAGAAACAAAAAAGGATGACTTTTATTATAATTAGTATATATCACTAATTACAAAATTAAGGACATTTAGAGGTGCCTTTGCGTGTTTTCCAATTGTTGTAGCATGGACATTCTTCTTTATGGCCATACGTTCCAGATGGAACACATAAGCATTTAATACAACATATATAACAATATTTGATGCATGTATCGTATGCTGAAGCTAGTTCACACCTTCTTCCGCACTCATTTGGACATTCTGCATAATATTTAACTTTGTCAAAGCCACATAGTTATATTGGATATCAATTTAAAACCTTTAAATTACATACTGTATAAAATAAAAATTAATCATATAGATATATAATACCTTCTAATGGGCAAGATCCTTCCTCACCAGCCTGAGGATATAAAATTTGAGTACCCAATTAATTACACAGTGGATTTTTTAAAATGATACGTAGTAAAAAGAATAGAAATAGTACATATATGAAGTATTTTTAGCTAATAATTTTCATTTCTAGCGTAAACTAACATTTAATAGTCAATTGTATATATTGCTAATTTGTTACTAAATATTAATAAGATTTACTTGCATATATAATACGAGTATCTTATCAACATTCGCAAGTTTCTACAATCATTACAGATATAAATGGCACCCAACGAAACAAACATAAGGCACTACTACAAGCCTCATAATTCATAAACCATTCCAAATATGCCTAAGAGACCATATAAAATATGGTTTATATCTCAACAGTCTCTTAGGATTAGAAACCACCCTTTTTTCTTGTTTCTTAGATCAAACAAAGGAACCAAACTTCTAAGAAAAGTGGTTTCTTAGGTCAAATACGAATTGAATTATAAAATACTTGTATGAACTAACTTTAAACAATAGGAGATAAACAACTGAAAGCCTCTCTTTGAAAATAAAAAAACATATGATTATGAACAATTTATGTTCGGTAATCGTGTTGGCAAGACAAACGCAAATCCATGATTATGAACAATTTATGTTCGATGAACATGTTGGCAAGATCGACAAACACAAACACCAGAATTGTATGAGATGAGTCCAGTTCAAGGAGGAGGAATCAACTAACCTTTGAACTAATTACAAGTTGAAGGACAACGATGAGAAAAATGATGTAAGCCGTAGGAGAATTACCCATAATTGCTCTCTTGAGCCTTGTCTACTTGAGAGTTAAGAAATTTAGATGCCAAAAGGATATAAGCATCTTTATACTCAAATGTAACTTATAATTACTAATGCTTGTCTAGTGTCTACTTGGTCTATGCGTGTTGAATCATAAATCTTACTCCTCATGCCACGTCTTATGTCTCATACAATTGAAAATTTTGAGTAATCTTTATAATATAAGAACAGAAAATAAAATAATGAACATCACGTTGTCATATATAATTACAACGCAAATGATTCCTTAAATGGTAAGAAATTTCCCTACAAAAAAAAATGGTAAGAAATTAAAAATAGACCAACCAGCAAATCTATTTAAGATATTAATGTGTATCATAGAAGATAGAGGAAGAGATTTACAAAATATTAATTGAGGGGTTATAACATCGAGATATTTTAACAAAAAGAAGAATATTATAGTTTAGTGTACGTTTAATTAGGAGTGTGAAACAAAAAACCATAACCGTTTACCGTATCCGTTAACCTATATGACCGACTTGTTTTATAGATTAATCAACCGTACCTTTAAAAATAAGCGATTATGATTAACTGAATCAGTAAATATAGCAGTTAATGGTTACGGTTACGTACACTTTTGAGTAAACGGTTAACTGATAATGGTTAATCTTCCAAAATATATATATATATATATATATATATATATATATATATATATAAATCTTTATCGGTTTGTAATTAACTAATTGGAGCTTATTATGGTTTATATATACGAAGTAATTCCTTTTTTTTTTTGAAAGAAATATACGAATCAGAGTAATTCTGTATTAGAGCTAAAACTCTTGGAAAAGCAAAAAATTTGATCTAAGATTTAAAATTTATTTAATGGCTAGCGGTTAAGAGGTAATTGTACTGTTAAGAAATAATTAATTGTTAGAATAAACCATTTCTTAACAACACGGTTACGGTTTGTGTTTTTGAGTAACCTGTCTAACAATTAACCGTACCATAATGTGAACAACCTTATGTATAACACTAAAGTTGAGTTAAATCAGACCATGAATTGGTAATAAGTTAACATAATGACACTTTTTTCTAATTTTCTATTTTTGATTTTCTATTTTGAAAAACCTGAAAATTAAAATTATATAAATAAATAATAAATTAAAAAAAAAAACGATATCACTCAAGATAAGCAAAAACGAGGTGAATTAATCATACCCTAATTTATACTCGTATGATATTACAGTATATGGATCTGGTGAGTGACATTAATCATGTTTATGTTTTCATTATTTTTCTTTCGGAGCCTTTCACTAATAATTAATAATATATACGCTGCACCTCCCCTCTCTCCTCCATTGAAGCGTACTCTGAGTTCTCCTTTGAAGCTGCTTGTCGTCAGGTAACATCTTTTATATCAATCATTGAATATCAATCAACTATGTAGGGTTTAATTTCATCCTATCGTTAATTTACTTGTTATTATACTGGATTTAGGGTTCTTCTTAGGTGGATTATTGAACTATTGCTTATTATTGCTCAAATTACGAATGCTTATAACCAGCGATTTTGTTCATAGAATACTACTTTATGCAATTTGTGTTGATATTCTTAAGCGAGAAGGATTTTATTTGATAATTGAGTTAAATTTAGTTGTTAATTTGTTGCTTCTTTCAAACCTAATCGAAGCCAAAATTTATTTAGGGTTGGGAGTTGAGCCTACTCTTAATCAGGCTCAGCTCGTAGGTTTAGCACTTGAACCCATGGCCCTGGGCGGGGTTCTCTATTCTATGGGTTCTTTGCAAACTTGCGCTTTATTTCGAGTCCTTTGGTTTTGAGCATTGATTATTGTGTGCATCCCTGTATTTTTCTCTAATATGGTTAATAGGACATAATGGGGAAAAAGGTTAAAAAGAAGGCGGCTCGTAATGCCCATAAGGAGAAAGAGAAGGAGAAGGAGAAGGATAAGCGTGTTTCTACGTCTTCCCCAAAGGCTATAACTCATGAAGATGATCAGAATTCCGTGGCTGCTACTGATGGATCTGTGCAGAATCAGGAGAGGACAGTTTGCGTCCATCTTGACAAGGCTGTTGACTTGGAGAGTGTTTCTTCGAAAATTGAGGCTGCCGAGTCCACTGGATGCCAAGATTGCCGGGAGGGAGTGAACGACCGAAAGGCTGGTAAAGGAAGGGGAAAACACAGTAAAAAGAAAGGTGCTTCTGATTCAAGAGCTAATAAAGCCACTTGGATTTGCTTACAATGTGGGCATTTTTCCTGTGGAGGTGTTGGCTTACCAAATAGCCCACAAAGTCATGCGCTTAGGCATGCAAAACAAAGTCGGCATCCATTGGTAATCCAAGTAGAGAATCCTCATTTAAGGTGGTGTTTTCCTTGTAGCACACTTCTTCCTGTAGATAAAGTGGAGGCCACTGGTGAACATAAAGATTTTTACCTAGATATTGTCAAACTATTGAAAAAGCAGTCATCAAAAGTGCCTTCAGTGGATGTGGAAGATATTTGGTTTGGAAGTGGTACTGTTATCAGTGAAGTGAAAGGGGAAAGCAAAGCAATCAATGTTGTGAATGGAAAAGATTTTAATGCAGTTAGAGGGTTGGTTAATCTTGGGAATACATGTTTTTTCAATTCTGTCATGCAGAACCTGCTAGCTATGGATATATTGCGGGATAATTTGCTAAAGTTTGAAGGGTCCACAGGTCCATTAATGAGTGCTTTGAAGAAATTTTTTGTTGAATCTAGCCCTGAGTCAGGTGTGAAAAATGTAATAAATCCCAAATCATTGTTTGGTTGTGTTTGTGCAAAAGCTCCTCAGTTTAAAGGATTTCAGCAGCAGGACAGTCATGAATTGTTGCGTTGTTTGCTTGATGGGCTGTCTTCTGAAGATTTGCATGCAAAAAAATTAGCTGGTTCTTCACCTGGAAATGGGAGATCTGTACCTGTGAATTCTACATTTGTTGATGCCATATTTGGGGGACAAACTTCAAGCACTGTCTGTTGTGTTGAATGTGGGCACTCATCTGTGGTGTATGAGCCATTCCTGGACCTGTCACTTTCTGTGCCGATGAAGAAACCTTTGTCTAAGAAAGCTCAACCAGTTCATCGAGCAAAGAAAACAAAGTTGCCTCCTAAAAGAGGTGGAAGGAATCGCCCAAAACTGAATAAAAATGAAGATCTAGAGTCTGCTCCTGGTGATTGTAATACTGCAACAAGCATGGATTCTTCTGGTTTGAAGGATAATATGGGGCCTGCTCCTAGTGGCTGTAATACTTCAATCAGTACCGAGTCCTCTTCTGGCTTCTATGGTGGGTCTCCTAGCTATGCTCTATCAGTGGACTTTGTTGAACCCTGTAACTTGGTTCCTAGAAGTACTTTGATGAGTCAAGATAGTAACTCCATCAAATCCGACAACGATAGTGCTCAATTGCCACATAGTGTTGCTCAGGATGCTGATGGCATGCCGTGGTTGGACTATCATAAACCCTTTCCCCAAAGTGATGATGCTCAAGAAGCTGATAGTTTTTGTTGGATGGATTATGTCGAGCCAGTGTCCTTGTCAGATGATCCAAATTCTGTTGAGAAGGAGGGATTTTCTGTTACTCAAGATCTTGGAAGCCATGATGGGGACCATGATACTCTTTCTATTCACGATACAGCCAATTCAAGTTTTGAAGCTAGTTTGTCTCAAGTTTCTGCAATGGAGGGAGACAATCATGGTGTTGTCTCGGTGCTATTTACAGCCAAGTCTGTTGGTGACTTTAGTGTGCACCCTGAGAATGTGCATCTTAAGTTGGAGTCTACAGTTAATGATTGGGTTGAAGAGCAACCGGTGCAGGTACAGGACAATGAGATTTTGTTGCTGACCTACAAGGAAGATGGTCTCATGGATGGGGAAGAAGAGATGAAGGTAGATGCTGAAGTTTCTTCTTCAGCTGTAGTTGATGGAGAAGATAGTCTTGGATTTGATGGCCTAGGTGATTTGTTTAATGAGCCTGAAGATCTTGTGGCGGGAATGAATAGTGTCCCGGTTAGTGATGGTTTGGCCAATGGATTTCTAGCAGGGAACAGCACTGAGTCTGATCCTGATGAAGTTGATGATACAGATTCACCAGTATCCGTGGAGACTTGTTTGGCGCATTTCATAAAGCCTGAACTTTTGTCTGGTGAACATGCTTGGCATTGTGAAAACTGTACGAAATTACTGAAAGAAGGACGCCAAAGAATGATGGAGAATCAGCAGAAAACAGCATCAGTCCAAAGAAGCAAGTCCAGTGATGTATGTTTGAGTTCTGAAACTATGCTAGCAATGAATCATCATGTTTCTGACTCCTCAGCTGTCTCTCTGGCTGCTCATGACAATGGAAGCATTAAGATAGATGAGAACTTGAAGAAGCTTGATGATGGGAAAATCAATGGGCCTTGTCCAAATTTATCACAAAAAGAAGAAAGTAGACGTGAACCAGAAACCACACATCTCAATGCCTCTGATCCGTGTGTTTGCTCTATGCCGTCTGATAAAACTTATTTAGATGGTAAATCTGGTGATGTCCATGGACCTATTGAGAGGCCGTCTGGACCAAGTGAGGAGCATGAATCAGGAGAGGTTGAGGAGGAGGAAGTTGATGTGAAATGTGTTAAGGTGATGAGAGATGCAACTAAACGAATACTTATCAGCAAGACTCCTCCTATTTTGACTATTCATCTGAAAAGATTTGGGCAAGATGCGCGTGGCCGTCTGAGTAAATTGAATGGCCATGTTGGCTTTAAGGAATATATTAATCTTGGTCCTTATATGGATTGCAGGTGCCAGCCTATTCCTATATTTTATTGTCCATTCTTGTTTTATGCAGTTTTTTACATTTTTTGTGTGCACATTTGCCCCTTAATTTGCTTACTTGCCCATACATGTGATTTTTGTTGTTTGAATTTACCTTCTGCTGTATGTATGTGCTCCTTGCACATCCAATTGATAGTTTTCTTTCTAGGCGAATGGAATCCAGATAAAGCTGTATGTAGTCCTAACGTACACCAATTATTAGCACATGGATATTATTCTATAGCTCAAAGGTCTTATTTCCTGTGGTTTGTGGAAGCAACAACTTCCTACTTTCTATCTGAAGATTTTATTTCTATGAATGAACCTGTTAGGAGATAGTTTGATGCCTGCATCTGGTTATTATTGATATTTCAAAATAGCAGTGAATTTAGAAGTAATATGTGGTGTCAAATTGACAAGATTGTTTTAAATGACACATATGCTTTTGCTGTAAGAAAGAGAGCAGTGGTTTCTGTATTGTGTTTGATTGACAGGATTAGTTAAGTGACATATCAACATAAGCTACCAATCTCAGGGATGTCATTTGATTGAGTATTGAATGCACTTTTAAAACTTTTCTAGGATCAGAAAAGTGACAAATTGAGCTTTTCTAGGATCAGCAAAATGACGAATCAATGAGGAACCTTTTTAAAAAAAATACTACGTAAAAATAAATTCATAAAGCAAAAAATAAACATTCGAAAGAAGGGAAATGCAGAACATTATCATTGGATGAATTACAATGTTTGCTGCGGACTGTTATTTGTGCCATTTGCGGATATTTTGAGAGGTCTAGATGTCCTCTTTTCCTGATTTTAATTTTAAGCATGTGCTGGCTTTGCTGGGTCGATGACGAATTATACTCGCTAAGTGTAAATGTTGTCACTACAGTAAATTTGTGATATGATACCATCTGAGAGACCCTGAAAGGATAAAGACATGGTATGTAGTAGCACTTATCAGTAATATGGTGAGCTGAGAGAGTTAACACCCCCCCCCCCTCCTTTCTCAACTTCAGAAAAAAGACGGAGTTTAGAGAGATAGAAAGAGATCAAGGAAGGCAAATGAAGTAGTTTCCTATTTTTATAGAAAAATCAAATTGAATCACTATTAGGTTACAGGTGGTAGGAATGTGAGATTTTACTTTTATTGAGCTAATACCTTTTTATTTTAGTTCCTTTTAAAGCATTCATTCACAGAGTACTTTTCCTTTGTTTGTGATGGTTTGAGTTTAAAGTTGAGACTGCTTCTTAAAGTATTAGGAATATTGAGTGAAACACTTGTCTTAGGTTTCTTAATTTTGAGTATTGGTGAAAGAAGGGATCCTTAAGCATGATATGCATGCATTCTCTTGGTGTACTTGTGTTAGTTGCTATCATTTAAGCTACTTGCTTTTACTGCCCTTGCTGCCTGGTTTTGATATATATACGTTTATGTGCTACAAATACTTGGCACTTTAAAAGAGAGAGAGCACTCCCTCATGAGCATGCTTGAATTTGAGGCACCAGCTTTTTTTTCCCCTTTTTTTTTTTTTTTTTTTTTGGTTTTGTGTTGACTAGACAGTATGTAAGTTCATAATAATGGAGTTTCCCAATTTTAGACAAGAAAAGGAGGGTGGGTTGAACCATTTGAATGTAGAGAGTGAAATTTTAGTTTATACATGTAAATTCTGCTGGATTTATGATTGACTCTAGCTGTGTTTATTGCAATATGCATGCATTCTGTATCATGCTAGCTTTATTGTGAGTGTGGTTTAGTAAGGACTATATACGTAGTACATATTAAGATCTGTTGCTTGAACAAACTTGCAGGTCCACAGAGAGGGACAATTGCTTTTATCGCTTGATTGGGGTGGTGGAACATTCTGGATCAATGAGAGGAGGCCATTATGTGGCCTATGTCAGAGGAGGTGACAGGCGAAGAGGAAGGTCAGAAGAAGAAAATAGACGAGGACTTTCTGTATGGTATCATGCCAGTGATTCGTATATTCGTGAAACAACCTTGAAGGAGGTCCTCAGTTGTGAGGCTTACATTCTGTTTTATGAGAAAGCTAAGCCTTGATGAAGGTACCCTTTTTTTTTTGGTTAAATGTCACTGCTCCATTTTGTTTCTCAGCGGGGTAGTGATCCCTGTGCTCAGAGAGGGAAGAAAGGAAAAGGATAAGAAAGTGAACGAGATTGATGCTACTCCTAAAAATCCCCCATACCCAAAATACTCATTTTTTTCCAAATATATTTTGGTGGATTTATTTATTTTTAATCATTATTTTAACACTTTTTTTTTTTTTTTTTTTTTTTTTTTTGGGGGGGGGGGTAGTTGAGGGACTGTGGAGTGATGTGGGTTTATCCAGCCACTTTGAAGTCACACGATCATACAATTACTGAAAAAATAGTCGGTTTATTTTGCGATATCCAAAATCTACAGATACAAATTGTGATTAGATTTTCTTTTTATTTTTATATTAGTCACTACTTTTTTGTGGATGTTTTCATGCATAGATAATATGGATGTTGGTGTTGTGGATTCAACCCCGTGCAGTGGTGGTCAACTGTTGTGCATACTGCATAGTGCCACACAGCAATATAATTTTTACTGCTCAGCCTTGAAATGAATGTATAATTCAAGATTAAATTTGGGGATGTAAAGGTATTTAGCAAGCTTTAGAAATTTAGTTTGGATTTTAATTGATTGTAGGACCTAAAATGAATAGGTTGTGTGAATGTAGATTAGTTTTTTTTTTTTTTTTTTTTTTTTTTTTTCAAAAAAAAAAAAGGTCCCAAGGACTGAAATATTGACTGATGGTCAAAGATTAAGGTACTTGTGTCCAAAGTAGAACCCTATCAATGAATCACATAGTTGATGGAGGTTTAAACCTTTAACCTTGAGACTAGAGAGTTGGGACTTGTTCTATACAACTTATTTCAGATACTTATTACTTATTCCTTAATAAATTCAGATCAGATCAAAACTTTTGATTATCATTTACTTATTGCTAAATATCGTTAATTGCGTATTTTTTTATATAAAAATTACATATTTAAAAAAGTTCATAATGAGACGAATCTAATAAGCTTCATTTTGATAATATTTTCTTTATAGATTAGTTTGAAAATACTTAAATTTATCATTATGTACTTGTATTATAAGAACTTTTTACTTAAATTTATTATTATGCCTGATTTACGAGCACTTCATTATTTTTATCATTCCCTCTAAACAAAGGGTGTACATGTTTATTTGTTTATTTATTTGTCAAATTCATTTCTTTTGCACAGAGGGTGTACATATTGATTTTACATGTAACAACATTGATATACCTTACAAGTTACAAGTACTCTGTATGTTTCAAATTACTTGTAGCATGAGCAAATGACACAAATATTTATTATGGTGATAAATCATGGGTTTGTATGTTAATCACGTGACTTATCTATATTTATATACTAAAGTAATCACCGGAGATAATTGACATGATTTTGTGAATAATTTTCCCTCCAAAATGCTCTACTTCAAAAAAAAAAAAATCTACTCAAAAAATTAAAATTCTTTTAATAAATTCTTTCAAAGAATAGACATTAATAAATTCAAATTTCAAAAAAAAAAAAAAAAAAAACCTTACAAAAGTCATTTAATTTCAATTAACTATATTTCAATCAACTATTAACTATTATTATTAGTAAATCATACTTTATAAATCCGTGCATTGCACGAGACCAAAACTAGTTAAAAAAAATCCCCAAATTTCCCTCATTTCTTAACCTCTGTAAGAATACTATGAAAGGATTAGGTCTAGAAAGGAGGGAAGTTTGGGGATTTTTTTTTTTAGTTTTTAAATAAGTCACTTGATAGTTAACGCTGGAGCTTCGGCGTTGACCACCACCCAAGCTTATCCAAGTACCTCAAACAAACAAAATACAACTTAAAAGGTCATTTTTCACAAGTTTTCACTTAAAATGTCATTTTTAAAAAAAATCGACCACTTAAAAAGTCTTTTTCACAATTTTCTCTTATTAATTTTTAGTTGTAAAACAATGATGAAAGAGGAAACAATGGGTTAATAAGGTAGTTGTAACTCTTGTAAGAGTAAAAAAAATGATATTTTATGTCTAAAAATTAAATGAGGTAAAATTAAAGGAACAACTTAAAAAGAAATTGTGGCAAAAAATAAAGGACAAAAGGAAGGAGTAGTAACTAGTGAGAAAGGTGGTGAAAAAGGGTAAACGTAAAATGGGGTGAGAAAGGATAGCATGTGAGAATTGAAGTAGTATATCAATATTTACTACTCCCTCCGTCCCCGGTTGATAGTCATTTTTTAAGAAAAATCACGGGAATTAATGAGAATTTTAATAAAGTACATTGAAAAAATAAATTTACATTAAATATGTAAAAAAGTAGAGAGAGAAAGTAATTAAATTACATGGAAAAGTAAAATTTATATTGTAAAGTTAAATTTGCACAAATATTTTTACAAATGTTAGAGAATTTTGGTAAAAAAATAATATTAATGATACTTAAAAAAACAAATGTGATTAACATTTTGAGTGCCCAAAATGGCATACTTGACTATCAATTGGGAACGGAGGGAGTACTCGTCTAAATTTATGAAAGTGATTTGATATGTGATTGGTTGTGTCAGCTCCTCTGTCCTCTCCTCCTGTTTATATTTGAACATAGACCATAAATAGGACACAGTCAGAGAGTGAGACAGTCCACTATTCATCTCGGCTTTCTTTACATTCTTTAGGCAAGCCAAGCCAAGCCAAGCCTAGCCTAGCTAAGACGGAAGTAGAAGTGGAGCCCAGCATTGTTAGCTTGTTGATTTACTCCTTCCTTTACTTTACTTGCCTTTTTCATTTCTCAGTCTTGTTCTGGAACACTTGTTTCTCTCTCTCTCTCTATCCATCTGTGTGTTTGTATCGATGAGCTGAGTTACAAACAGAGAGAGGAAGTAAAGGTGGAGTAGTCATATCATATGATTAACTAATAATTAAGAAGCATTAACAGAGAGTAGCCTGAATTGATTAATGATATGGAGATGGACAGACAAGTAAAACAACGACAACGACGACTAGTGCTAGTAATGGTGGTGTTAGTGATGATGATACAGGTGGCCGAGGGTGTGTGGTGTGTTGCTCGCAGCGGCGCCGACGACGATGCATTGCAGTCAGCACTTGATTACGCATGTGCTGCCGGTGCTGATTGTGGACCAATTCAACAGTCTGGCCTCTGTTTCCTCCCCAACACTCTTCAGGCTCACGCCTCCTACGCCTTCAACAGCTTCTACCAGCGTAATCACATGGCCGCCACTTCTTGTCAATTCTCCGCCACTGCCACCCTTGCCAAGACCGATCCTAGTTCGTTTTTACTCTTTTCTTTTCTCTTCTTCCATTATTTATTATCATTATTATTATTATTTACTTTATCTTTTTCATTCATTGACTACTTGGGAATTAGGTTATGGATCTTGTGTTTACCCTTCTTCTCCAAGGTAGGTACCTCTACTATTCCTTTTTTTTTTTTTTTTTTTTTTTTATTACTAAATTTGTTGCTTCTTTATTCTTGGCTTTCTTTTCACACTATTCCCTCCAAATAGGATTGTATAAATGATGCTTGCCAGGCCAATATTATGCATAAAATGCTTTTGATCATGTATAATTATTAAGAAAGATGGAGTAACTTATTTCCCAATTATTAAAATAACATACTGTATTTGTAATAACTACACTACTCAGTACTCACTCCACTATATGCTCTATAATAGGAGTATTGAATGCAATTGGTTTCACTCTAGTAAGCATGATAAATTGAATTCAATTGGTAGTATGTACTCTGTCTATGTAGGAAGATGCCAAATATTCAAATTAAAGCTCAAACAAACATAAGTGAGTCATTGCATTGATGGATTCAATTATATATATTTAGTGGGGTCAGATGTTACTAGTTATTAAAATTGCATGGCCCCCTTGCTAATGGTAAATTGATATATGCAATTCTACCCGTGACCTTGTCACTCCTTAATTTCCCACAAGTGGCTTTATAAAAGGGACACAATACAAGGTCTAGATACTTGTAAATGTTACCGTGCCATGTTGTTCATCCAAAATTCCAGACTCCTTTCTTTTACCTTTTTTTTTTTTTTTTTACTTTTTCGGAATACTACACTCCATTTCTGTACAACTACATCCCCATCTCATCCATCCCAACCATTTTCCAGTTTTTGTGTTTTATTACCATCAAAAGTTGAGCTTGCTTGACCCTACGGAGTATTATTTTATTCATCCCACTTGCCCATTTACAAATTGCAAATGCGCTTTTCATTTTATTTTTTGATTTTCTCAATTTTTAGGCATCTTTTGTGCATGTCCTTGGAATAATGGTCGACAATTAACAAGGTTCAACATTTACAATTTCCACCCCTTTTTTATGGAGCACAGAACTGGTAGTACTAATAACTTAATTACTTCCACACTGCTTTCTATGTGCATTTTCCCTCTTCTACTATAAGGGATTATATTTCTAGCTCTAATAAACTACTGCATCACCTTGAAACCTCGTCATTTCTAACAGAAAATATGTGCTGTAAGCCAGTAATTGCTAACTTGGAAGGAGGGAACCTAATTAGTGTGAAGGAACTTAGGAGCAAGAGATACTTCTGCAAGTTATTATTTTTATATTAATTATGTAGTACCAATTTTGCAGCACTGCAGGAAGCATAACATCTAACACGACAGGAGCCACACCAACAACAAACCCCTATGGAACAGCAACACCCTTCTCCCCCACCACGATGTCTCCTACGACCTTTGGTGGTGGTGCTGGAACAGGTCTTAATCCCAACTATATGGGACCTCCTATTTCTACTACCAATGAATCAAAAGCCCCCATTAAGTCTCCATTGCCTCTTTTGGAGACACTACTCGTCGTACTACTGCTTTCACTTGCCATCTATTGAAGAGGATAGAAGGGAAGGAGAGTAAAAGAGGTGTGATCACATTTTTTTTTCTGTTCATCCTTAGAAGGCTCACCACAATTTTGTACGAAGCTTGGAGGTGTTGCATAACTTGCATTAGAAATTAATGAATGAAATTGATTGTAGTACTTTTTATCATCTAAACGCACTTCATTTCCTTAATTTGGGAGTTGTAGGAGCTAAAGCTACTACATTAGCGAGTGATTGACAATTCAGTTCGTATTCATTTACTAAAATTGTTGGCTAGTTTTGAGAAGATTTTACTGCTATATATGCTAATTGATTAGGCTGTTCCATTCATCTTTAATTAAAATTTTAATCACTAGTTTATCTTAAATAGTGCCAACTCCTCCCGTGTTTTAGTTTAATTTATTGAAACATTCAAGTAATAAATCCTTTGGTGAGTTTGAGTCAGTAGTAGCTATTGCAAAACAAATTAAAGTCGCATTCTTATTTGTAGAAGTCTGAGTTAGGTGATAACAAAGTAAAGCGACAATCAATTCATTCAATAGTAGATGTTCCGCGACAATAAGCATAATAACACATGATAGGGTAAAGATTATGAAGCAGGATTGTAAATAAAAAAAAAAAAGGAAATAAAAGGAAGCACAAACAATTGATGATTGTGAATTAGAGTAGTTTAGTAAAGGGTAGTGATGGGTTTGGTGTTTAAGCATAAAACATTAATTAATACGTAGCTCTAGCCTCCAGGTTCCTAATTAATGAATAGCCAACAGCCTTAAAATCCTAAGAATAGCTACTAACTAAGTAACTAATACGGAGTAGGATAACCTTACACTCCGTACTGTGACTAATGAACAAGATAAATAAAAGCAGCAGTAGAAGTTGATCTATGGTTTAGGATGGAGCACCTCCAGCAACCTCGCGAACAACGTCAATTTGATCTCCATCTTGAATATCCAACGGTATGTATGTAGAAGGCTTTAGTTATGATCATAGCAATGCAAGTAGAAGAATAATAAGAGAATATGTATTATGTAGAGACATAGTCATACGTACGAGTAGTATATAAGAAAGAAAGAAAGAGGGGGAAGGAAGAGTACATCAGAGGGAGTGGCAGAGCAAGTAGGAAGAATGCGATTGCCATTGAAAAGGAAGCGAGCGGTGCCATGTTGTATGTTGTTAACTTGGTAGTATTTGTTAAATGCCTTTGCTATCTTCGATTTCCGAAGCACCTTTATAAATGTTGCCTTTTCATTCTGAATTTACATAAATTAATCATACAGTGTATGAACTGGAAGCAAACCATATAGTTGTAGTAAATCAAAAGTACCTGATTGACAAACTTGAGATACATAAAGTTGGGGTCGACCTCTTGTTGTTGCACTTGGTCATGTTGTTGCTGTTGCTCCATTTGTTCCCTCAATTCAGATCAGGCTTTGTTGCTTATTTGTTGACACTGAGAGATAGAGATAGAGGAAAGAACAAGTAATAGAACCCGAATATAAGTGATGGATGGATTTGATAAGGCTGGAAGGGAATACAAGTACACGTTCCACTCCACACACAAAATAAGTAAGAATAAATAAATGGTGTTATTATTGAACCCGAATATAAGTGATGGATGGATTTGATATGAATGTAGATTATGGCATAGAGTGATATTATCTTTTCATACACGCTAACTCTCACACTCCCCTGCTCATTTCATACTACTGTAGTTTTGAGATGCTAGTACCCAGTACTCCAGTGGTATCCTTATTATCAACTCATTCTCATCATATTTACAGCCATCCCCACCTACCTCATCACTGATGAGTGATCTCATCACCACCTAATATCTCATTCCACATTTATGATTTATCCTCTACAACCTTAATTCCTAATTTCATTTTTACTTGTACGTTTTCCAAACCCATCAACTTTTTTTTTTTTTTTTAACCAATATTAATTACCGCATCAATCTACTTCCTTAAAAGCATTAATCAACATTGTAATTAGCTGATTAGTAAGTATTGCATCAACAATTAACCCACCTAATCATATCATTGTATGCACTTGTTAATGATCAAAGGAAAACTTTTAATTAACTACGGAGTAGTACATACATATTTCTGTTTTAACACAAATACAAACACTATACATCCAAGGGCTAGGAGCCTAGAAGAGTAGTATTAAAAACTTGAAAAGCACAACTACAGTGGCCTACTACATCTAAACAGCAATTAGTGAATGGTCCAAATTATTAATAATCCAATTTAAACAATTGGGTTAAGAAGGAGCTTCATCCCAAATTATTAAAGCTGATGAAAGCAGCAGCAGCAGCAGCAGCAGCAGCACCACCACCACCGTGTACATAGCTGAAAACGTCAAATACATCTCCATCCCTCACGTTTAGCTGCATGCATTTTTTCAAAAAATCAAATTAAGTAGGAATAGTTTAAATTGGATTAAAGAAAGAAAGAAAGAAACGTACATCGTCGGGGGTGAGGTTAGGATTGACACGCATGCCGTCAAAGGTGAAGTGAAGTTGGTGAGTCAAATTGTGGTGATGAGAGTATGCTTTAAAGGCTTTGCCAAGATTGGCATTACGCAACACCTTAAAAAAGGTTTCTTCATTGTCCTACAAATACCCCATTTTATCTTATCTTAATAAATACACATACTACTTGAAATAAATGAACACATACTACTTGAAATAAATGAATACTGTGAGATCAAGTACAAGATGAAGCATGTGCACGGCCCCAATAAGTAAACACTGAGAGAAAAAAAAGAGACCTGATTCACAAACTTGAGACGAACATAATGGTCGGAAGACGGACATAGTGCACTTGTCTTGTGGTGTTTGTAAGTTATAATACTCTCATTGCTTATCTTCCTCTTTTCCGCCATTGCTTGTCAGCTACAACTATTCTTTCTAACCTTTCTTTTCTTTCCCTAAATTTGAAAACAAAGAGGAAAGATAGAAGACAAATAAATGGGTCAACTCTCTTTTTAAAGGTAAAAGTGGGAGAATACAACTCAACCAAGTTTCTATTTTCTACTCTAATGCCTAACAGTTAGACATTCATTGTTACAGTTTTTAGTATTGTATCCGTAACAGTAACAGTATTTAATCTTTACACCCAACCAACAGTTACTTCTCCCATTTAATTAATTACCTTGCTGACTTCCAACTCACTTGTTTCATGCACCAGTCTATTCATTTTGGGAAATTGATATACCACTACTCCTATCAATGCAAGGCTGTCACTCACTCACACAGTCAAACGACAGTAGACTAGTACACACATTACATTTACCACTCCAACTTTACATACTACGGAGTACTTAAGATTGATGATCATGTCATTTGCATCAAATAATCACTACTCTAATTAGTTAGTAAGTTCAACAAACAAGTACCACTTTAATCCACCAATTAGATTAGATTATTATTAGAGACCGGAAACTTGATACAACCATCTGACTGCAACTTCTCACTTCCAATAATTAAAAACAACATCAAACACCACAGCTCCTCAGTCCTCACCATGTTCGCTGCCGTTACGGATCCTGTAATATGCATATTATACTTCCAATAGCCTTTAAGAGGAGTGATGCTCAGCTTCGTGGACAGCACTCCCTCTTAAAGGATAATACCCTTGTCTGTTTCTCATTATTTAATACATCAGTCTCTACCTCTTGCATTGCATTGTACATCAGTGAACATTCAAAGACTACAATAATAAATTCTTCGCAGCACATAATGTAAAAAAAATAAATCTTAAGTATACAAGTAACCGTAGAATTTTGCAATTCTTAAAATTCAGTCTGCTACATCAACATTACTCGGTTAGTTGTCATCATATACTACACTATGCTTATCCTTGGGATTTTCCGTCGTATACAGAATACAGCATCAGACCTCGTAAACTAAACTACAGGATAAGGAGGGTAAAGAATGCAATTTCAGTTATGTGACACAGCCAATCCTATGCCGGCTTCACAAAGAATACACATCATCTCCATGGTAGATGATTGAGTTTTAATCAGGTGCTCAAGGGGAAAAAAAGAGAAAATGCACCCATAATGAGTAGAAAAAAAAAAGAAGAAGAAGAAGAAAAACCATTTACAAAACTATACCTAACTTACAAAGTCTGATATCATTCACTTTCTATAAAGTTCGGCGAGAGTATGGTTTTAAACAGCTCCTTCAGATTAGCCAATACATGTCGAGGCCCTAAGCTTTTAATCCCAACATAATTCAACAACTGCTCTATGTCCTGCAATATGCAAAACAATTGGAAGAAAAAACTTAGTTAATTGAGTAAGAATCTTTAGCTGGTGACTAGTGGATTTTCATCCAAGTCCGTCACATATCTCATCAAGCACTACAGATCAAAAATGAATATAAAGGAACAGCAAATGACCAGCAAAGAGTACAATTATATCTTGCTACGGAGTATACAATAAGCAAATTAAAACAAGAAAACTAGCAGAAACATACAACTATATAACTTCAACTCAAAAATCTACTGCGACCATAGTCCGGAAAGTGGCAGCAAACATCTATTAAAAAGGTTCACAAGTAGAATTTTTCAGGCAGTAGATATGACATTTATTAAAAAGGTTCATAATTAGCTAACCTTGTTCAATAAAAATATAGCATACGCTGCTCTGGTGGCATCTTGCCCATCTAAAAAAAGGGGAAATTCCAAACACTTCGTATTTGCAGAGGCCAAGGCAGATGAGGAGGGTCCTGAAGATGTGGGATCAATCGAGGGTGCATAGTCTTTTATATACGAATGAGAACCACCCATGCGCAAAGGATAACGCAAAGGGACATGTAAATATGTAGCTATGAGTGAGATAACCTGCAAAGGACCAACTCAACGTATTAATATCATCCAGTCATTGTTGCTGCTTTCTTCTTCTTTCTTTTTCTAAGTGATTAGGAGGACTGTAGAAGGGGGTAAATGTTGCTCATGTGGATTTTCTTGCAAGTCATCTGAGCTACTAAATAACTATGACTGGCTAAATAGAGTGCACGTTATAGACTTATAAATGAAAGCATCTGAAATATCATAGACAAATCTATGTATGAGCAAAAGCAATTAGCCTGAAGGCGAAACTTATCAAAATTACTAGTTTCCCTAAAATATGAACATGCTATGAATACTTATAATAATAAACATACATAACTCAAGGGAAGAGAAAGTACACACATGGGCAACATATCCAAGAGCAGTTGTCGACCTCTGAACCTGCTTCTTATCAGTGAAAAAAGTCAACTGAGTAAAAGGAAGCATATTCAGCTGTGCACCTGAAATAGTCAAGATTCCTTGGTTCTTTGATTTGTTCTCATCTAGAGTTCCGCCAGGAGTCCCTGCATATCGATAAAAATTAAGCAGGAGAAAAAGATTATTTGTATGCTGTGATGAAAATAAGTACGGAGTAATAGAGAAGTTTCATAATGCATATTTATCTTAACAACATGCATAATGGTATCCAACCACTATAAAGAATGAGAGACAAGGGTAGTCTGATTAAGGATATCAAAAAATGCAAAAGCTAGTTTCATAAAACCAGATTTTAATCAGCCCCTTCTTTATGGCACCAAACCTAATTCCAGATTTAAAAGAAAAATAACAGAAATCAAACATCTTCTTTGAATTGGCTAAGCATCCCCCTTTCCCTAAACGTGCATACACACACTTCCAATAGAAATGGAAGTTTTACAGTAAACATATGATTTTGCTTCATCATTCAACTTGTCAGAAAATCTAATAAGGAACAATATAATATCGCACCTGGAAACGAATCAAGTTCAAGCTCCTGAGTTGCACCAACCATGGTCTTTACTGGATAAAGATACGCAACTTGGGAAACCATGTGTTGTTGTCTCACTCTAAGCATCTTTCGCAAACCATTTAGTTGAGCAAGACCCTGTTCTCCCCCAAGTAATCTACCAGATTCCTGCAGTAGTATAGCAGAGTAAATAGCTGCACTGCCACATTCAGAAACAAGTAAAAACTGAACGAGAGTAGTTAACAAGACTACATGAAACGCAAAGGCGAAGCATAACAAAATTGAAGCCCTTCCTACAAACCATTTGTAAGCAAATTACATTTTGGCAATCAAATCATGGGTAAGATTTGGATAAGAATGAAGTTAATTAGAGATTATAGAATAGCAGAAGATGTAAGCAATGGAAATAGCACCTGCAGTCTTTTGCGCGCAACTGAAAGAGAAGTCCCGGAAACAAGTAGAGACTTAATTTCAGTAGCAAGGTGGTCCTCTTTAGTCTTAGCATGTTCTTCTACCACCTTAGCTTGCATCAACATGTTTCCCATAACCAGCTTTCTATCTTCCAATCTTTCAGAAATTTCATCGAGTTGATTCCTCCGACTCAAGGATTCCGATTGTACCTGGAAAACGATGTCCAAGCCCGCTAAACCGCGGGCAGTCGGATTAAAGCCCCGTAAATAAACAAATATCATTTCCCATGTATCTGCTAGTCTGCTACATTGCTAATGCCACTTTTTCACATATAACTTGATAATCCAACTCCCCTTTTCAAACATAATAATTGGCAAGCTACTATCATTATCAAAGAATCATATTATTCAATTTAACTAGAGGAATCAGTCAATCAAAGTGAAGTTGAATAAAATTGAAAAACTACAGTTTGATTAAGGATTGGGGATCAGAAGATACCTGAATTAGGGTTTGAAGGTGACGCTGAAGAGCGAGTTTCTTGCTCTGAGCTTGTTGGAGAGCAGACGAAAGACTGGATAACCTCGCAAGTTCTTGTTCAAAATCTTGCCATTGAATCACTTTGAGTTGGGGATCCATCAATTTCAAAATCAAAACGAAAAGGGAAAGTGTGAATTGAGAGAATTTGGGAATTTAAAATCGGGGGAAGTTGAAGAAGATGGAACAAAATCGTCATCAATTTCAATTTCATTTCAGCATTGAAGAAGGTGATGGAAGATCTTGGGCGCATAAAAGAGGGGGGAGAAAGAAGAGAAAGGCCAAGGGGAAACCGGGTCTACACACGACGTACTGCACTAGTCCGTATAATTATGCCAGCGTTACCCACCCCTGGATACAAACAATCAAATTTCTCATGTGTATTATGTGATCATCTATTCTCACCAAATTAACCCGGCCCGGGTGCCTGCAACACAATATTGGTCACATATTTTCAATGACATCTATAAATAACATCACAATCCTTGTTCTCAAAGGACTTTTGGTAGATATCTCCATTAAATATATGTTTGTCCACTTTAGTTTTTAATTGCTAATTTAGTCTTTACAACTTACATCAACTTTATTAATTTCAATCTCTCGCGAGACTTAAAATGACCGGCTAGTGATCATATATGATTTCAAACAACATTATATGACCCTCAGGATGCATCCCTATAATTTTGAGAGTTTTTGGCATGAGTCTCAAACCTCTAGATTTGGTCCGATTTTGTGTGTTATAACTTTCCGTTTCAATCATTTTTCAAGTTGTCCTAAAAGGAAAAGTAGTAGTAGCATTATGCATGGTTAAGATGAGGATGTATTCGATGTCCTCTTAATATCTTGTGATCATCTTCAGACCGTGTTCTATTTTAGGGGTTGTTTGGTTCACTAAGCTGGAATGGATTGTCATACTTGGGTGATATGAAATCTTTGTCTCAGGGCAATCCAAAGTTGTTTGGTTTAATCATGAAATGGTTTTCTCATACTTAATTAATAGTATGGATTATGAATCCTTAGGAAGGAGATGGATATAAGATTCTAGTGAAATGGGATGGAGTTAGAAATCCCAAGTATGAGATTTTATACTTGAATAGCCTAACCAAACAAATAAAACCATGAATGGATTCTAAATTCATTCCAACCCATCCCGAGAAGTTCAACCAAACATCCCCTTAGTATATCCTCTTATAATAACTTGTTTGAGGTTTGACTCGCGCACCACAATTAAGGAATTGATATCAACGGTTCTAACCTTAACAAATTAAGTAGGAATGTAGAATTATTAAATGCTTATTTAATTAATTTCTTTGCCTTTATACAATGTTTAATTATAACATGATTCCACTGTAATGATACTAGATTTTCAATAGTAACTTTTGTATACATCCGAATATCCGATGTACAGTAAATCAGGTCACTTTTATAATATTTTGATAACTTTTATCAATAAATCATAAATACTTAGTAACTTTTATTTATGTTAGGGTAACTTTATAACGGATGTACACTATTTTATTGTACATCCAAGTTATTTAAAAGTTTGTCAATTTTGTTTGAACACCTTAAATGGCAATAGTAATAAGAGATATCTTTTGAAATTTAGAATTTGATTTGAAGTGTAATACTAATAACTAATTGGACAATATTATTATCTTTTTGTTTAATAAAATAAAAAAATAAAAAGGGTATGAGCGAGAAACAATAATTTAGAAAGTTGGAGTGTTAGTTGGGGAAATCGTAGAGGCAGAGGAGTAGGAGTAGTATAAAAGAAAGAAATCGAAGACAGAGAAAGTTGATTGAATCCGATCGATGAGATTGAGGACTGAGAATTGAGAATTGAGAATCGAGAATCGAGAATCGAGGATGTCAGGCGTATCGTTGCAGTGCGGAGATTGTGGAGCTCTTCTGAAATCCGTGGAAGAAGCTCAACAACATGCGGAGCTCACTTCTCACTCCAATTTCTCTGAATCTACTGAGCCTGTTCTCAATCTCGTCTGCTCTTCCTGCGGCAAACCCTGCCGCTCCAAAACTGTAATTACCTCTCTCTTTTTTTCCATTATTCAATTTTTCAATTAGGGTTTTTTGATTTGTTGAATTTGATTTATCAGGAGAGTGATTTGCATACCAAAAGAACTGGCCACACTGAATTTTCAGATAAGACTTCTGAATCCGTTAAACCTATTAATCTAGAATCACCGTCTTCTACTACTCCTACTCCTATGGACGTTGATTCTCAAGGTGCCTAAATTTATATACTTTTCAACAATTCAATTCTTTTCCAAAACCCCTATTATATAACTATTTCTTCCCTATTCAATTCTGTTTCGTTGGTTTTTGTATTTGTAGAAATGGTTGTCCCTGAGGTTGATAAAGCCCTGCTTCAGGAACTCCAAGGAATGGGATTCTCAACTGCACGGGCTACCCGTGCACTTCATTGCTCTGGTAATTACATTGTTACCTTTTCTTATTCAACTTTGCCACTTTATTCACCAACTACTATCATATAATGTGGCTGTTATGTTCAGGTAGTTCCAGTCTTGAGGGTGCTGTCAACTGGATAGTTGAACACGAGAACGATGCTGACATTGATCAGATGCCCATGGTTCTCATGCTCTTATCAATACTATTTACATTTCCTATTATTCAAACTTCATTGTCTTTCTGGGCCTTGGGCCTTGTTCCTCCTCGGATTTTATTGCTCGAGCATGGGATTGGAATGCCTTTTTTGTTTGTCTATGACTAAAAGTTGGTTCTTCATTTGTTTCCAGGTTCCAGCTAGCAGTAAAAATGATCCTCCTAAACCTTCCCTTACCGAAGAAGAGAAGAAAATGAAGCTGCTGGAGCTAAGGTATATACGGATATCCTTTTCCTTTATGCTATTTTTCTGAAACATTATGCATTTTCTTGTTCTGCCTCAGCCACTAAAAGAAATAAAAAGTTATGTGTGTATAAAATGTATTTAGGTATAATGCTATTCTTTTCCTGAATACTTAAGAAAAACCAAAACAAAGTCACGTATAGTATTAGGTGAATAAGCTATACAGTTGTATCAGGCTCTAAACACTTCCTTTGGGGTCCAAATAGCCTGGATAAGTCTCACCACTTCGAGGTCATAATTTATTTTTGGATCATTCAAATTTACTATCTTTTTTAACCTCTTTCTTTTTCCCATCCCTGCAACAAGAATAGTTTATTTAATTATATGCTGAGTCTGCTTGCCACTTTATTATACTCCGTACGTTCTAATTGAAAGGACATTGAAACCAAATTAGTGAGCCAAAAAGCTTGTAGAAAGTTTGTGTTTAGTTCACCTGGCTCTAAACTTTTAAAGACTGCAGCTTTTTCCTTTGGATAAGAGTCCTAATTGTGCTTATAAAACTGTGTTTATAAGATGAAGAGAATTTGGACCTTGAAACCAAATTAGTGAGCCAAAAAGCTTGTAGAAAGTTTGTGTCTACTTCACCTGGCTCTAAAGACTGCAGCTTTTTCCTTTGGATATGAGTCTTAATTGTGTATATAAAACATTGTGTTTATAAGATGAAGAATTTGGAAAACAAAGAGTTGTGCAAGGGAATTCTGCATTTCTTGGGCTTGGGGTGGGCAATTTAATCATAAATTTATATTAAGGCCTTCTTTGCGGGTAAATTCTTTGGAGCTGGCTATTTTACAGACTTCATAGTGCTAGAAGTTTAAGTTATGAGCAGGATATTTTTAGTTTTTCATGACATATGACTTGTGAGTGTCTCCATTAAAGGTAATGTCCAGTGGAACTGAGCGACAAAGGCAGGACTGAGAGATGGGGGTAGGCAATTTGCCCAAATCCCCTCTAGTTTTTTACACCATGTTTGGGTAGATAGAAATGGAAGGAAAGAAAGAGAAGAGAAAGGGAGGGAATTGTCATCCCTTATTTGGAACATATGGAAGAAGGGAAGGGGAGGGAAATGGAAGGATCCATTTTCCTTCTCTTTTAATAAACCAAATCCTTCCAATATTAGAAAGATTTGGAAAGAAAATAGAAGCTCACTCTCTCCCTCCCCTTCCTCCTTCCCCTTTGTTATACTTCCCTCCCCACCCTTTTCCTTCTAGATTGCTATCCAAACATAGTCTTAGAGCCGTTCAGCCGTTTCACTATCTGGATGATGATTTTGATTTATGTTTATTTACAGCTTTTTTAAAATAGAAATATCTAGGCAGTACTTGGTCTGGTAATATTCATAACCTTGCTATCTATAGTTTTCTTTTCAATTTTTTGTACTTCTATACTTAATACAGTTTTTTTATTTTTATTTTATTTTTAATAGGATCAAAGTTGACTATAGTTAGTTAAAAGCTGATATAGTATCCTAATTTGTTATTGTTATACCTCATAATTCATTTTGATGTCTTCTCTGATAATATTTAGAGAGCGAGCACGCAAGAAGAAGGAAGAGGAAGAAAAAAGGGCGGAAAGAGAGAAAGAAAAGGTACAACCATTAGTTCTGTCGTGTTAAGTTGAATTGCTGATGTGCATTTCAATGTGTTTGTAAACAGAGCTTATGTACACGAAGCATTTGCACGTCTGCTATACTTATCAGTTGGCTAAACACAATTTATCTCCTATGTTATTTTTTTTTTTGCTATCACTTACACCTATTGAGACATAGGAAGCTACCTTATAATTGGTCTCAAAACGCTACCTACTCTATCAGGTTTTATACAATATTTGTAAAACCTAAAGTTGGAGTAAGAAATGCTGAAATGTCTTATTATAGTTGACTACCACTTCATCTTGGCACTGGGCCATATTACATTATTACTAGATCAAGTGGAGAAATTAATCTGCTAAAAAATGGTCAGAAAAGAGAACTACAAGCTGAGTACACATTTTTTTGGTCCCTCTTGTGCTTGATAGATTCATATTTATCCATGCAATTAAAATCTTTCACCATCTCTTGAAAAACAGAGTATAAAACCTCTTTTGCTCCTTAAATGTAGATTGTTATTTCACCATCTCTTTAAAAACAGAGTATAAAACCTCTAGCAAAGCGAGTTGTTAATTTATTCAATGTTGTACTTCTAACAATTGTTTGAAATTTCTGTAGGAGAGGATTCGAATTGGAAAGGAACTTCTTGAGGCAAAGCGTATTGAAGAAGATAATGAGAGAAAACGGTTTGGCTTCTTTCAGTATATCTTTAATCAATGTGCACTTGAATATGCTTTTTAATCTTATTCCCTGCAGAAAGGATATGGTTCTTGTATTAATGTGTATTGCTTTGGCAGTTTGATAGCCTTCAGGAAGGCAGAGAAAGAAGAAGAGAAAAAGGCCTTGGAAAAAATTCGAAAAAAGCTGGAAGAAGACAAGGTTCTAATATCTTTTCTGCCTTGTTGTATACCTTTACGATTACTTTAGTTTGACCAGAAGGTCCTTATTGCAAGATTTCAAGCTTAAATATCTCAGCAACAAATTTTCTTTTACTATACTTTTTATCTACCTCTCTGAGTGCCATTTGTGGCCTGAAAATTAGTGGATTTATTTAGTTGAATATTGAGGAACAGTGGTAACCTGCTATTTTTCTTTCCCTTGGTTTCACAGGCTGAAAGAAGACGCAAACTTGGGCTGCCTCCAGAAGATCCTGCTGCTGCAAAACCTTCTGAACCCGTTGTTGAGGAGAAAAAGGTGGATTTTTGTTAAGATGGGCATAGTTGTGAAGTTAATCTATAATTGCCATAATTGTGATGTATTTATATATAAATTGCAGAGTATTTTGCCAGTTAAGCCTATTACAAAAGCAGAGCAAATGAGAGAGTGCCTTCGATCTTTAAAAAAGAATCATAAGGTGAATCATGTCTTCAATGCTTTTGCTTGTTTGCACTCTAATTCTCAAATGTACCATGTTTTATGAATATCAACCGGTTGGATGGTTCACAACATAGCCTTAATACTTATAGCTGTTTGTTGACAATTGCTGAACCAGGACGAGGATGCCAGGGTAAAGAAAGCATTCCAAACTCTTTTTACCTATGCAGGCAATGTGGTGAAGAATCCAGATGAGGAGAAATTCAGGAAAATCAGACTTACTAACCAGGCTTTTCAGGTATGGGTTTGACACACTATACTAATGGTCTAATGGCATGTTACTAAATGTCTGGTAATTTCTCATATTGTTGAATGCTGAAGTTAATAGCTTTACGATGAGCTTTTACTATTGGATGTGAATGGCAAAGAACATAGTTCAATTGTCTAATATCAACCTGTTTGATGCCATGTTTTGTTGCAGGATAGAGTTGGTGGATTGAAAGGAGGCATTGAATTTCTTGAGTTGTGTGGATTTGAGAAGAGTGAAGACGGAGAATTCTTATTTATGCCCAGGGAAAAGGTTGATACTGCTGTGCTGAATTCAGCTGGTAAAGAACTGCAATCAGCCATTGAGAATCCTCACTTTGGTGTTCTCTGAAGGTTTAAACATCTGTTGAGCCACCTTATTTATCTCTTCATATGGCTTTGTATACTGGTTTGAGTGGAAAAATCCCAATATATGCAATTGCAGTTAGCTTGGATTTGGGTTCCATTTTGCACACTTTTATTATGACTTGATCCCAATTTGATCCTGAAATATATTCATTTTAATTTCACTTTCGCAAAATTATCTTTTAGGGTAATGTGTTTTTTTTTTGAAGACTAGGGTAATTTGTTTGTTAAATTACTTTTTCCAACTAGCTATGCCTCATTGCTGGTTTAGAATAATGCGTATGAGACTTTGAGCTACTTCGTATATTGCTATGGATTCAGAAGCCAAAGCTCAAGAATTTCGTGAATTTATTGGTTGATGGTGCATATACTGGTTAATGCTTTGTGATCTGTTTGAACTTGCACAACTTCATTTAGCTGACATTACTGGGAGCTGAACTTGCTAAAAAATGAGTCGTAAGATAAACTCATTGAAATTCATGTCCACAAAAACTCAAGATCCAACATTTGATGTATTTTTGGGAGAGGAAAAAACCTCTAGTAGAATGAGCTATGTGCCTCCTTTGCTATGAACAGGAAAAGGAATACTGTAAAATGAAACTGTATGTCAATATCGTGGTCAACAGAAGAAAATATTGTTTATTCTATTACTACTATTTCCTTGTGGTTCATGAAGAATTTGGACCCATGATCTCTTATTTGAAATGTAAATGACATACCAACCTATACGGCGTATACTAAATTCTCATCTCCAAGTTGATTTGTTACAATTGATGGTTGTGCAAATTCTTTATAAAACTCTTCCAATTAGCCTTATATCACTACTAGCTATTTTATGTTTTGTGTGTGACGAGGACCTCCTATGCCAAATGTGTGAAATTTAACAAAAAGCAGAGTTTCCAAGTGCTAATGCTAGAGTTCAAAAAGAGGCGGATGAAAAAAAGGAAATAAAGGTTTTATATGGGCTAAAATTTTCCTTTTATCCGTGCATAAATATTAAGGCCTTGTTTGACAATTGACTGTTGGATGGTTCACTTGGCTTGTTTGACTAGCTGATATGTTTGGCTGTTTATAATGGCTTTTAAAACTGGCTGTTAAAGCTAGCTGTTTATAAAAGTGTTTGGTAAATTGTTGGTAGTTGGCTGTTTATTAGATAATTTGTGAGCCAACAAGCCAAAAGCCAATAAAAAAACTACTCAAAGCATCTTTTTCATTTTGGCTTAAAAGCCAGCTTTTTCACTGGCTAAAAAGTCAATTACCAAACACATTTTTAGGTTATTTGACCTCATAAAAAAGCCAAAAGCTAACCAAAAAGCCACCAAAATGCCATTTACCAAACATGGACTAAGTATGATGATTTGATGGGTAGATTATGTGCACAAACGCAAGTTATATGTTTATATGTAACTATAGAATATTGACATAAGTTAAATTGAGACATTTATTTTGAAACTAAAAGAAAGTATAGTACACTGTAATAATTTTTTTATTAATTTTTTTTGACTAAGGGAGTTTAAGTTGAGGTGAATATGGGTGGTACTCTGTATTATTATTTACGGTAACAAAAAAATTAAAGGTATGCGGGGCTGGAGGGTTGAGCGTAAGATCCCATTCCCCAGCACACGTGTAGTTGGTTTGCAACACAAAGCAACACTTGCCCACCACCTTCCTTTCCTCCTCAATCACCAAGGTTGCCTTGGCCTGCTGGGGGTTTTTCAATTTTGATTTTGATTTTCAACCCAAAACCCAACCCTCCCTTCATAATTGCTGCGATCATCTTCAACAATCAATATTCTACTTTCTCTCTCCTGCACAACTAGTCTTCATCTGCGAGATGGTGAACGAAAATGAGAAAGACTCGAAGAAGCAGAAGAAGAAAGTACCTGATTGGTTGAATTCTTCACTCTGGTCTACGCCTCCTTTGTCTGCTGCTACCACCATCACTCAAACTCAAGATCTCTCTCCTCCACCCGTCGTCCGTCCTCCGTCGCCGGTTCGACCTCCATCACCACCTCCTCCGCCGCCGGACTCCAACGGCACTTCCACTTCCTCTGCTTCTCCTTCTCCTTCCCCGAGGAGATCTCTCGCCATGCTCAGCTCTCACTCGAGGTTTCTCTCTCTTTTCTTCTTCAATTCAATTCAATCCAATTGAATTCACCTAACCTAATTTCTTGAATTTGTTGCAGCTGTCGAAGAAGGTCATCAACATCAGAGAAATCAGGAGGTTAGCATCCATGGGTCTTCCTGATGCCCCTGCCATCCGCTCTACTGTGTGGAAGGTTTCTCTCTCTCTCTCTTCATTTCATAGTCTTAATTAATTAGTTACCTAATCGGAATTACAATCCCTAATTGCAATTGCCAGCTTCTATTGGGGTATTTGCCCAGTGATCGAGCAATGTGGCCCTCTGAATTAGCCAACAAGAGGTCTCAATACAACCATTTCAAGGATGACCTCTTGATGTCTCCCGTATGTCCTCTTCTCTCTTCTCCCTCTCTTTTCTTTTTTTATGTCTTTCTTTCCTTTCACTTTCGATTTTGCTTCGCGTTTCTTTCATGTTTTAAACTCCTCCACTACTCTTCTTAACTTGTTTCTTCTATTACTCATTCAATTGCCATTGTTTATAGTCTTTATACACACAACAATTTATCAAGTTTTCTTAATTCATGTGTTTTTTTTTTTTTTATCAAACTACATGTATTAATAATGCTATTCCAGAGCTTGCCATTTTCTATAGCTTGTGCATGTCAATTCTGGTTTAAACACTATCATCTCCATGTCAATGTCAAAAACTCAAAATGTGTTGCCCTCCCTTTTTTATTTTTCTTTTGTAAAAAGTTTGGCATTTCTGAATGTCTATGTGGCTAGTCAGTCAGAAATTTCGAGGAAGCTGGAGAAGTCATCAATGCTGATAAGGATGAACTCAAAGGTGAAAGTCGTTGCGTACTCTCTAGATCAGAAATTGTTCAAGATGAGCATCCTCTTAGCCTTGGACAATCCAGTCTCTGGAATCAGTTTTTTCAGGTATATACCTTCAATATCAACTATCAGATTGGCTCTTCTCAAATTGATCACTGATTTCTATTGAAAATATTACTCCATAAGTATTATACTTTGACACTGTTTCATGTTGCTTTTTTTATTTACTTTTCATTCTCTTTTTGTATGTGTGTGTGTACGTGTGTCTGTGTGTTGGGGCCTTGGAGGGGCAGGGGTTTCACACTACTTGGCCATGCAACACCTTTTTTAAACGAGTCAGGAAGGCTAGACACAAACATAATCTGTTTAATAAACTGCTGCCTAACTTGCCTGATTTGTTTAGTTAACCGGATCATGTTCATGTCAAAAATTTCTAATCCATTTGAGATCATCAATCGTCATCATGTTCATCACATCTCTAGGAAATAACATAGCCATTGGTAACCTCAAACATGAAGAGGTGTATTATAGTCCAAATTGCAAACTATTGCTAATAATTATACATTTCTTGAATAAATACTATATGAGACTTAGAAAAAGAGCCTTTACAACAAAATTTCATACTCGTACTATTTTACATTTTTATTGACATATCCTCTTCTGCACTCGAAGGTAATGCTAAAATAATCAAACAGAGGCTTCATTATGGAGAATTGAAAAAAAAAAATCATAATATAAAATTATTTTTAATGGTTTGTGAAGGAATGGGTGGGTTTGGGTTTGGTAGCTCTATAAATTAGGAATAGTCGGAACACTAATAGGACCACGGGATGCCAAGTTGATGATGGTAACTATCTCGTGCTTCTCTTGACTACCATTATAATCATGCATTTGCAAAAGTCATATAATTGAATATACACCTATTAGTGCGCCTTTTATGGTTCAAAATAGACTTTTATGACCTTAGGGACACCCCACAAATCCATTTCAATTTTGAAAAAAATTCCCGAAATTAGACTGAAGTCGCGGATTAGCCTTCAAATTTGGACAATTTTTTATTTTTTTGGACCTGGAAAGGAAAGAAGCCGGTTGTTCCCATGATCTCAATGAGACCTCGGGTTTCTTAGTTTGTTATTAGAACATCTCTTGTAATTCTTTACTTTCACTATCAAAATGTCTTATTAAGTATTTATGTAATTAAAATGAAATCACTCCTTTTGAGACTATATATACCTACTAAAAGACCTTTTATGGTTTCAAACCAACTTAACTCATGTGGACATCGCACACATCCATATTCAATTTTGGAAAAAAATTCTCTAAATTCTCTAAGTTGGTGATTGAAACCATTTCTTGCTACTCTTTATTACTGCTATAAACAAGTATTTAGAGTAGTCATACAATTGAACAAACCTCATTCTATAGACTTTATAAACCTAGTGGTAGGCTTTTTATTGTATTATGGTCTTGGGCACATGTAACACCCTAGAAATTCCTTTATTTTAAAATACCTGTTTTGCCCTGTATAAAACTTTAAATAGGAATATCTAAGACATTACCGCCACCGTGAAAACGGTTAAAGCAAATATCAAAGATACACAGCGGAAGACTAATTTTAAAAACCTTTCCAAAACAACCCAACTTGGAAAGCTAACCAAACGAAAGTAAAGTTAAAACCAAAATGAGCGAAGTAAAAATGAAAATCAACATACAACTTGGAACCATTAAAGGCCCTTATTAGAAACCAAACCAAATCCAAACTTGATATTAGCTCCACATATAAATATTAGCATAAATAATTAAAGCAGAAACACATTGTAACTAATATAAACTAGCATGATTCGCTCTTCACTCGTGCCCCATCATGAATATGCCTTAATACCTGAAAAGCTTATCTCTACTTGTCTCCACTACTCTCCATTAAAAATGGGTCATCATAGGGCCAAGATAAAGACATGACCAATACACACAAACACACACAATCAGCAAAGCTGAGTACATAAGCGTAATTAAACACGCTATCATGCTTTCACTTATCAACACACACTTACCTCAATGCACTTGTGAACAAGCACACACAACATTCAACAACACTCAATGACTAGACACTCATTAATTCGTTTTGCATTGATTACGCATCGAACGGGTTTCCACCTATTAACTGTAACACCCCCGATTTACTAACCAAAATAAATAAGAATTAAAGGAAAAATAAACAACCTTTAAATAAAATTGCGGAAGCATACACTTAAATCGGAGGTATTACCGCCACACTCAACAACCTGTCGAGTTTTAAGGCTTACCAAATCCCAATAATTACAACCCAATAAACTAGGTTAGCTATTTATACAACTTTATAAACTCATGACATCACACTAATCGAAACACTTGAGCTCCTTTAGCTACGACCACTAGATCAACCTGCTTAGAAAATCTTGAGTGCTCACCATTAAGGACAAATTCTAAAATAGATCGTCGCAGGGCCACCATAAGAAAAAGACATGGCCGCAAATATAAATAGCACAATAAAACAACACACACGTCAGAGCAATCACCACATATCAGAATATAGAGTATAATATAATAATTAACATTATTAGATCAATTAAACAATGTAGTTCGAAACTACATTACACATTGCACTCTGAAAATAACCTTTGTCAAACTCAACCTCGAATAATAGTACGAACCTTTACTCAACTCATAACCAATAAGTGTGCCATGCTCGTTGTTCTATACCTAGCCTTGGACATGGGTAATTCGAATAAAACCAACAGGTATAAAAACTTGAATACTCCCAATAACTAGAAAACACCTTGAACCAGACCACATACGGGTCAATTCCCACCGTAGGGGACCATAGAAAAATAAATAATAAAGATCGTACTTCATTTTTAACTCATGATTATTACCCTCTTACCAACAAGCCAAGGACTAAGTTATACAACGCCGAGCCTCAAACCAAGAACAAAATAATAATTCTCAACCTTTTGATCTCATACTTAATCAAATAACCATTCACAAATTAATATATTAAATAATATCTCAACAGTGGCACATGTTCCCAAATAATACAAAAATTCAAACTCGTTAAACCATAGCATATCTCAACTCTTATAGGACAATCAAACTAGTACCCAAATTTAATCAAATATCAACCCAAAAATAATTAACTCACAGCTCAAAAGTAATACAAGTTACCCTTTAACCTCAAAATGATACTCTATATTCGAATACACTGCCTCGACACAACTAAGATAATCAAAAAGTTTACATCAAATAAATCCATATAAACTATGTTGCCGTGAGAATCATATATTTATCAACATAACTCCAATTCCACGAATTCACTGATCATCAAATACACTTGCATATATAAATTTTTTAAAAAAAGAAAAACATGATTAACTTATTTATTTCAAAGTATTAGATTACAAATTTGCAAACATGATTGTGGTATGATGACACAACAGCAAAAAGATGCGGATGATTACCTTTGGAATAAAAGCAATTGGTTTAGCCACATGATTAGCAGAAGATAAACATTCCAAAGATAAACATTCCAAAGATTAATAGCAGGCTGTTGGTATAAACCCACGAACGTACATAATGGAGTAAAGAGGAAGAAGAGAAAGCTAGGAATTTTGTATCAAAACGGCTACATAATATTATTGTATCCCAAAAACTTAATAGGGTTAGAATAGTTTATATATGCTTAAAAATAGAGAGTCCTATTTAAAATAAAATAGGGTTTCAAACCTTTTCGAACTTTAAAATAAAAAAATATGAGATTAGTAAAGTTATTTAATAGATAAAATAAACTATTTTATTTATAAAATACATTATATAAACTCATAAAATATTCGGGTATTACAATCTACCCTCCTTAAAAGAAGTTTCGTCCCGAAATTTAAATTCTTGAATAATTAGTGACCACATATTATTTATTGTTGAATCCTTTTTAATTCTATCTCAGTGTCAAAGACACCTTAAACGCATAAAGCGCCAAAATCCTATCCTTCGGTGTTAAAAATACCTTAAGTGCACAAAGGCACCAACATACAATTTATTCCTTGTGTACATAGACACTTATATAGCTCCTTCCTCATGCTTAAAGCATCAATAAATTTTTTTTGAACCATAATAAAATTCCTTTTCAATATTCCAAACGTAATTAAACATGTAGTTTAATTAGTCATGCCTTCTAACATGCCATAAATAAAAATGTGGTTCAAATACAACATGCCCAAAATATAATTTTCCAATCCATAACCATCACAAATAATTCATGCTTCACAATTCAATCACAAACACCATAAATTCACAATTCCATACATGAACCTTAGCATGATACTACTTGTAATTGATTGAAATCAAACCTAGCATGATTCTACGTCATCCAAATATGCTAAGTACGCGAACGTACCTCAATTAAGCCCGTAAAGTAGCCAATTACACTACAACAATTCCCGAACCAAGTCTTCTACATAAAGGGACAATAAACCTATATTAATTCTCCTTGTATACACAATTTCCAGCAACTTAAACTCACTTTAAATAACTTATAATAATCTGAAAATTATTTAAAAACCCCTAATTAAACTCCTTTTTAATGGATAATCACACCCTTTTATTAAAAATCACAATTATACTACTTTAAATAAAATTCCAACATTTTAAACTAATCAAAAATCCTGTAAAACTTCATCAAAATACATCTTTATACTTAAATTATCCATAGAAACATTAAATTATCTCTTTCCCCTTTTAAACTCAAAGATAAAATTTAAAGCATAAAAAAAAAACTTCGTTAAAAATCAAAAACTGCTCGAAAATCGTATTTAGAGGCTGAATTTGGCCACAAGAGGGTAGTGCTCACTACCAAAGGTAGTGAGTCTTTCTTAAAACGTTTTTTTCCACTCGAAAAACACTACTTTTTTTTATCAAAATCGGAGGAGTTTAGAACCTATCGGGATTAAAACGAGATTAATATTTAACGAACGGAAATCTAATTATTAAAACATGAATTTGCGTGTTCAAAATAAATCTGGAATTAAGTTAAACTAATAAGTAGTTATAATCACCAAAATTTCAAAACATCATTA